CGTGTGTGTATGATGATGGGCATGTGTGTGTGATGACAGGTGTGGGTGTGAAGGGCGTGTGTGTGTGATGGGCGTGTGTGTGTGATGGCTGTGGGTGTATGATGATGGGCGTGTGTGTGTGATGACAGGTGTGGGTGTGAAGGGCGTGTGTGTGATGGGCGTGTGTGTGTGATGGCTGTGGGTGTATGATCATGGGCGTGTGTGTATGATGGGCGTAGGTGTGTGATGACAGGTGTGGGTGTGATGATGGACGTGTGTGTGTGATAGGCGTGGGTGTATGATGATGGGCATGTGTGTGTGATGACAGGTGTGTGTGTGAAGGGCGTGTGTGTGTGATGGGCGTGTGTGTGTGATGGCTGTGGGTGTATGATGATGGGCGTGTGTGTATGATGGGCATGGGTGTGTGATGACGGGTGTGGGTGTGATGATGGACGTGTGTGTGATGGGCGTGTGTGTGTGATGGGCGTGGGTGTATGATGATGTGTGTGTGTGTGTGATGACGGGTGTGGGTGTGATGATGGACGTGTGTGTGATGGGCGTGTGTGTGTGATGGGCGTGGGTGTATGATGATGTGTGTGTGTGTGTGATGACGGGTGTGGGTGTGATGATGGACGTGTGTGTGTGATGGGTGTGTGTGTGATGGGCGTGTGTGTGTGATGGCTGTGGGTGTATGATGATGGGCGTGTGTGTATGATGGGCGTGGGTGTGTGATGACGGGTGTGGGTGTGATGATGGACGTGTGTGTGTGATGGGCATGTGTGTGATGGGCATGTGTGTGATGGGCGTGTGTGTGTGATGGCTGTAGGTGTATGATGATGGGCTTGTGTGTGTGATGGGCATGTGATGGGCGTGGGTGTGTGATGATGGGCGTGGGTGTGTGACGTGCATGGGTGTGTAATAGGCGTGGGTGTGTGTGATGGCTGTGGGTGTGTGTGATGGATATGTGTGTGTGATGGGTGTGGGTGTGTGTGATGACAGGCGTGGGTGTGTGATGGGTGTGGGTGTGTGTGACGACAGGCATGAAAAAGGTTTCTAAAATAATTCTGATTAGTTATAAATGCCATAAAATAAATGTTTTACAAATGCGTCCTGTTCAGTTCATACAGGAAAGTGAGTCGATTAGTCACCACTCTCTTTACTGATCCAACTGCTATATACTCAGACTAATCCTTTTAATACATATTTAAAGTGCATCTCTCTCTTCTGTGTTCAAGTACACAACAGTCTTCATGCTATTCCAAATCCCCACAGTGCTCTTTCTTCTCTCTCATGCAAATGAGTCTCCGACACTTTGTGCTGTGTTAACTCAAGTTTAATTCCCAAGCCGAAGGATAGTTTCAATGTTGAAATCCACCCAAATAGGCCCCCAACAAATCTTTAAATGTTATTAACATACTCCTTGGTTTTCTAAGTTGCTACTGATATGGCCACTGCAAAGGGTGAATGACCCTAGACTCTGAAATCATACTTACAGTGAATCTCATCTATACTAGTGTTTTTCAAACTGTCCCACAGAACTAGAGGGTCTTGAGAGCTGTGACAGGAAATGGCAGGTATGGGACCAGCAGGTGGCATAATGGCTATGTTGCTGGACTCCCATGTGGTCAACTGAAGTTCGTGTCTCGGACCCAGTGGCTTCGACTCTCACCAGGTACATGTGTCCCCAAGATCCCGAGAGGAGAATGGAGGAGAAGGGATTGTGGCATGGCCATCTACCCTGGGGGGTAATTTCTCACCTTCTGTCTCTCTCTGTCTGTCTGGCAAGGGCATGCGCCCTATAGCAAAAATCTCTTAAAAAAAAAAGGAAAATGGGAGGATGGGAGGTATGAGGAGAAGTATCTGAGCATTTTTAAAGTTTCTACTGCTTTTTTAGAATCTTGAACATTCTTGGTATTTTTAATCTTCACAGACTTTTAGAGTTATGTATATAATGAGAACAACTTTAAGTGACTCTTCTAATTCTAGATTTTACTTAGTATGTTTACAGCTAAATGGGTAAACACAAAAACTAGCTTTATAATTCCATAAAATTTAAAGGTCACTTAAAAAGAAATAATAAAACCTGGTGAAAATGTCAATTATTAAAAAATATAGACAGTGGGGGCCCAGCAGGTGGCGTGGTGGTTAAGGTGCTGGACACTCCCACGTGGCCAACCACGGTTCGAGTCCCAGACCTGGTGGCTACTTTCTCACTTTCCCTTTCTCTCTCAGTGTGTATGTCTCTCTCTGTAAAATGAAAATCAGTGAATTAATAAATAAAATTAAATAATTCTTAAAAAAAAAAAAAAACGCAGTTAAGGAAAAGGGAGGTTAAGAATGAATATTCTGGGCTTTCCTTTTGAAAGCTACTTTTTTCCTTTATCGAAAATGTGATTCCAAGTGTCTTTTTATGAATACCGTCAAAATCCTGTTGGGTTTTTTTTTTTTGGGGGGGGGGAGGGGTTTTTGCTACAGGGCGCGTGCTCTCACCAGACAGAGACAGAGAGACAGAAAGCGAGAAATAAACCCCCCAGGGGGGATGGTCACGCTGCAATCCTTTCTCCTCTGTTCTCCTTTCAAGATCTTGGGCACGCACACACAGGCACCCGGCATGAGTTTTAAGCCACCGGATCCGGGATGCGAACTGCGGTCGACTACATGGGAGTCTGGCGACATAGCCATTACAGTAACTGCTGGCCCTGGGATTTTGGGCATGTGCATACATTCGCCCAGTGTATTTCTTGAAACTACCAAGTCTAGGATTTAAATCATGAGGTTGGCCATGTGGAATCAGGCAACCTTAACAACTAGGCCACAGAGCTAGCCCAATAATTCTAAATCTATTAAAATTTGCTGTAGAAACAAGTAACATGGTGGTATTAATGAGAGAATAGAATAAAATTTGAAAATAATATACGCCTTACCTTCTTTATGACGGTTGAAGAGGATGCTCTGTGTTTTAAGAATTAAAATGATATTCTCTGGGTCTGGTCCATCTACTATTTTTGCTGATTTGGTACATAAAAATTCATAGGCTTTATTTACTTTTTCAAACATATCCTGTATATAATCAAAGATAACTAAACTTTAGTTTAGAACATTTCAAATCACAACTTAAACATGATACAGTTTCTTTACCAATAACTTTATTCTTTTGTATATTTATAATTCATTCCAACTGTAATTTAGCTAGTAGCTAAATTTTAAATTCATTTAAATACCTATACTATTAAGGTGAGGCTACTTTTTTTAAATTTATTTTTATTTATTTTTATTTTTTATTTTTGAGAGGTTTTCGCTATAGGGCGCGTGCGCTCACCAGACAGAGAGACACATAGAGACAGAAAGCGAGAAATCACCCCGCAGGGGGGATGGTCATGCCACAATCCCTTCTCCTCCATTCTCCTCTCGGGATCTTGGGCACGCACGCACACGTGCCCGGCATGAGTTTTAAGCCATCGGGTCCGGGACGCGAACCACAGTCAACTATGTGGGAGTCCAGCGACATAGCCATTACGCTGACTGCTGGTTCCCATGGGCTACTTTTTTCTTTAAAAAAGCTATAGAATGATCTCAATACCATTTACTTCATTTTTATATGAGGATATCATAACTGAGAAACAGTAACTTGCTAAAGGACACTAAGTCAACTGGTGGCCCATTAAAGATTTACGATCAGGCCTGGCTCCTAAATCCTGCTCAGAAACGAACATACGGTATTACGCCCATTGACTCTTGTGTCAGTACCACCTGTTTCTACCACCGTGTCTTTACGAAGTGCTTCAACAGGGCAGACTAAGTCTGACAACTCAGTAGCTGATTTTAAGATTTTTCCCTATTTTGTTTTCTGGCCCAGAAGAATTTGAATTACTATGAAGTTATCAAAACAAAAATAGGCTTCTGATTAAAAATGCCTTAAGTGTGTAAAAGTGGGAGGCCAGCAGGTGGTCCGGTAGTTAAGGGCATCGGACTCCCACATGGCTGACCGTGGTTCAAGTCCTGGACCTGACAGCTTGCTTTCTCACTTTCTCTATCTCTCTCTGTCCCTCTCTGGTCAAATAAAAAAATAATAATAATAAAATAAAGTTAAATAAAAAAAAATTTTTTTTGGAGAGGTTTGTGCTATAGGGCGTGTGCGCTCACCAGAAAGAGAGGGACAAAGAGACAGAAAATGAGAAATCACCCCCAAGGGGGGTGCCCACCACATCACAAATCCCTTCTCCATTCTCCTCTCGGGATCTTGGGCACGCACACACACGCACCTGGTGTGAATTAAAATTTGCTGTAGAAACAAGTAACATGGTGGTATTTAAGCCACCAGGTCCAGGACTCAAACCGTGGTAGACTACATGGGAGTTCGGCGACATAGCCATTACACTAACTGCTGGTCTCAAAAGTGGCATCTTTTCAATGTCACTGCTTTTTGTTTTTGCTTTTTTTAAAAAATAATTATTTAATTTAATTTGCTATTACTATTTATTTTTTAATCCACTCAGGAATACTCTGTCTGTTTCCAACGAAAACCAACAATAGGGAAGTTAGCAAAAATTAATCCAAGTTTCTAGCAATAGACCGCTAGTCTTAGCATGGTTAATTTTATTTTTTATGGATGAATCTTCAATGAACGAGGTAGGATCAGGAAATACTGGTAACAGATGATTTAAAATAGGAACCAAATTTCTTCCTTCCTCAGTAAGAGTGATACAAAGTTGGAGGTATGCATGACTCACAGGCAGCACGACTCCTGGACAGAACAGGGCGCAGCCGCATGCACGACTCACGAACGGCACACGGACACTCTGAACTCTGAGTGACCCCTGTGACTGCCCATCAGAGCTGATCCTCAGAGAGACATAGGTAAGGAGAGAGAATAAATCCCACAGGTTTCCAGTCACAGACTAGCTCTTCTGGAAAACTGAGGGACCGTTCATGCAGAAATCATAGGCATACGGCTAGAAGTTTATTAAGCATACAGTAGGCATATATGACGGAACAAATACTGGAAGTGTCTTTCCTCCTCCAAAACAGTCACACAGCAGAAGGAAACCAACACCGAAGCCACAGGCAGCACATACCCTCCCTTCTGGATTCTTGTCCGGGTGGTACTTCTGTGCCAGTCTGAAGTACGCTTTTCTAATCTTGCTTTCATCGTGCCTGTTAAAAAGAAAAATTATTTAATGAATACAAGATACAAGAAAGAACATTTACTTAAATCAAGAATTATAATTGATGAAACTAGGCACCAAATTAAGGCCAGTAAGACTTCAATAAGATTACTTTTCATATACTAACTTTACAGGGGAAAGGTAATACTTAAAAGGTTCCTAGGTAAGGTCCGTATTAATATTTACATGAGATTACAAAGCAATATTCGGGGTTTGAAGAACTAAGAAATATTTTGTAAAAACCCCTTCTATGTTGTCAAAATGTCCAAAATATAAATTCAAATTCTGTAATTTTAAGGCATTAAATCTTTCTTACCAAAAAATGCACAATTTTAGCCTTTATTTAAGAAACTGTGGGTTAAACCATTTTGCTCTTGCATATATGCATGTGCTCCAAATCTGTTATTTAGTGTTCTAAGCATGATGCTATCAATCTCTTCCTCATGTATAACACAAATTGCAAACGGAAAGGTAAAAAGGAGTATGTGAGTGCCAATCATCAGGTACTCTACATGTCACCTCATACACATAGGACAGTGATGACACCAAGAAGAACAGAGTACAACTGGGCTAATGAATTTACAGTTATCCGAAGTTACATGAGCACAGCTTCACGCTGCTGCTCCTACAGCAGGTATATCAGAGAATAGTGAAAAATCTTAAAGTGGTTGATTTAAATGTAATTTAGTCTTTGATACTAGTATCTTATGGTAGAGCAGACATTTATTACTGCAATACGGAAAATAACTCACGGCCCCTGTCCTTGAGGCAGATTAAGCACTTCATAAGCATCATCTATTGACATCGTAGGTGGCTTCTTTTCTACTTCCTTTTTCCAGGCATCAAGGGTATCTTTTAGAAGCTTAACCTTAAAGACAGAGGATTAAAATGTACATCTATTAAGTCAAACCTCTCTTCTTCTTCTTCTTCTTTTTTTTTTTTTTAAAAAAAGAGATTTTTGCTACAGGGTGTGTGCACTTGCCAGAGAGAAAGAGACAGAAATCCCTGGGTGTGGGGAGGGTGGCCACGCCACAGCTCCTTCTCTTTCATTCAGCTCTTGGGATTCTGGGCATGCACATACAAGTGCCTGTGTGAGTTTGAAGCCACTGGATCCAGGACTTGAACTGTGGTTAATTATGTGGGAGTCCAGCGATATAACCATTGTGCCATCTGTTGGTCCCAACTATTTTGAAAAATAGTTTTTAAGTTAGGGACCAGCAGTTAGCATAATGGCTATGTCACTGGACTACCATGTAGTCGACGGTGGTTCGAGTCCCAGACCTGATGGCTTAAACTCACGCCAGGCGCGTTTGCGTGTGTGCCTAAGATCCCAAGAGGAGAATGGAAGAGAAGGGACTGTGGCATGGCCATCCCTCCTGGGGGCTGATTTCTCGCCTTCTGTCTCTCTGTCTCTTTCTGGCAAGTGCACGCGCCCTATAGCAAAAAAAAACCTCTCCAAAAAAATAGTTTTTAAGTTACAGAATTTTTGTGCTCTATTTATTGAAAATGGCATTTCTAAGCTGTTCAATAGTTTTCTAAAATACAATAAACAAAGTCAACTTCTAGCATCGTTGGATAACTTAGGAAGTAAGATATCTATTAAAAAAAATTTTCTTCTTTTTTTTTTTTTAAGAAAGATTTTTGCTATAAGATGCATACACTCGCCCGAAAGAGAGAGACAGAAAGCAAGAAATCTCTCCCCGGGAGGATGGCCACATCGCAATCCCTTTTCTTCCACCTTCCTCTCAGGATTTTGGACATGCACGCACATGCACCTGGTGTGAGTTTTAAGCCTCCGGGTCCAGAACTTGAACCTCAGTCAATTATGTGGGAGTCCAGCAACGTAACCATTATGCCATCTGCTCGTCCTGAAAGACTATTTTATTCTATATTTTAAGTGATATTTTTATTCTCTGCTAATTTATGTCCCTATCTTTAATTTTTCTTGAAGACTTACTTATTTCTAATTTTAATTATTATCAGTATACTTCAATTTTGACCAGAGAGAGACAAATAAAGAGAAAGGGAGAGTGAGAAAGCAAGCTGCCAGGTCTGGGACTTGAACTGTGGTTGGTCATGTGGGAGTCTAGTACTTCAACCGCCATGGTACCTGCTGGCTCCTCTACCTTTAATTTTTAAGGCAACACTCAGAAAATATCAAAAACTGAAATTAAGGGACCAGCAGTTAGTATAATGGCTATGTCACTGGACTCCCATGTAGTCGATCGCGGTTTGAGTCCTGGACCTGGTGGTTTGAACTCATGATGGGCATGTATGCGTGCGTGCCCAAGATCCCGAGAGGAGAAAGGAGGAGAAGGGATTGCGGTGTGGCCATACCCCCAGGGGTTGATTTCTCGCTTTCTGTCTCTCTGTCTCTGGCGAGCGCACATGCCCTATAGCAAAAACCTTTCCAAAAAAAAAAAAAAAAAAAAAAAAACCACACACACACACCAACCTGAAATGAATAAGCTTATATTCTACAATTAAGAAAGAAAGCAGTCTGTGGTATGCTTCTCAAGATGATCTAACATAAATTACTGATACACTCGCACTCAAACGAGTGTAAAGAGTAAATAAAAAGGAGTTCGAGTAGCAAGTGACAAACAGAGCACTAATATTTATTGGAAGCGTGTATGCCAAGCTCAGTGCTTCATAGTGTTTAGTAATGTTCATTCTTATTTTTTAAATTTTCTTTAATGAGAGAGAGAGAAAGAAACAGATAGAGAAAAAGGCAGCCCCAATAGGATCTATGCAGTCCACCCCGTCTCAGTAGGGTGGATCCCAGGCGCACACGCCCAGTGTGCTCAGGGAGGTCCCAGAGCACAAACCCAGGGCCTTCTCCATGTGGGTTCAGTTGGGTTACCACTATGCCCTTGCCTGGCCCTTGTAACAAAGTTCATTCTTTTTTTGTTTGTTTTAAAGAATTGTTTTTAACTTTATTTTTTAACATGACCAGAGAGGGACAGAAAGAGAGCAAAAGCAAGAGAGGAAAAGTAAGAAAGCAAGCCTCAGGTCTGGGACTCGAATCGCAGCAGGCCAGGTGAGAGTCCAGTGCCCTTAACCACCATACCACCTGCCAGCCCCAACAAAGTTAATTCTTATATAGAATTTCAATATAAAAAAACATGGAGATTCTAAAAGGGAGAGTGCATGTTTCACAGTTTGTAAGTGATGAAGCGGGATTCAAACCTATGTTTGACTACAAAGCTCATACTTGGACCAACAGGTAGCATGCATTGCTGGTCCAAGGCACTGGACTCCATATGGCTAGACTCTGAGGTTAGAGTTCCAGACCCAGTGGCATGAAAATCATGCCAGGCATGTATGCATATGTGCCCAAAATCCCAAAAGGAGAATGGCAGAGAAGGGGCTGTGGCATGGCCATCCTCCCTGAGAAGGTGACTTCTCAGTTTCTCTCTCTCTTGCAAGTGTGTGTGCCCCATAGCAAAAAGAAAAGAAAAGGGGGTGGGGGGGAAGCTCGTACTTTTTTCTTTTCTTATCTCAAGCCTAGTCTTAGATATTGGTTATAGCACTATAAAGAGTTTGTAACTTTTGGTACAAATGGAAATTATTCTAAAACCTTTTAAATGGTAATATGATAAAACCTACATTAAATTAGTAACAGAACCATGTGGGCACCCAGGCATCCTATATTCTAGCCTCCCCACAGAGATCCAGGACTCAGGTTATAGGGCTCAAAGGAAATCAGAAGGCAGACAGAACAGACTGCTACAAATGGAGGTCACAGCTATCACCTCTTACGTGTATTAAGAACCATGCTTGTGAGAACTTTCCCTTAATCTTCAGGACCAGGACCAGAGAGAGCTATTATTACTGTATCATTTTAGAGATAAGAACTGTGGCTGAGAGAAACCAAGCCATGCTCAGCAGAGTTATGAACGGCCAAGCTGAAGCTTAATCCCAGACTGCATCACTTCAGTACTGGGGAGTTTATACAATCTGTTATAAAGGCACACGTACACCAAGGTGCTATGGCATATAACTGTGTCATATGTACAACGTTTATTTTTTTTGGCGGGAGCGGGGGGCTTTGTAACAAAGATCAAGATTGCATATCTCTTTTCTTTTCTTTCTTTTTTGGAGAGGTTTTTGCTACAGGGCATGTGCGTTCGCCAGACAGACAGACAGACAGAGACAGAGAGACAGAAAGCAAGAAAGAGAAAAAAAAAAAAAAAAAACCCCCCCCCCCCCCCGGGGGATGGCCACACCGCAATCCATTCTCCTCTTGGGATCTTGGGCACGCACACACACGCGCCCTGAGTGAGTTTTAAGCCATCAGGTCTAGGACTCGAACTGCGGTCGACTACATGGGAGTCCAGTGACATAGCCATTACACTATTTACTGGTCCCAAGATTGCATATTTCTTTAAAAAAAAAAAAAGGATTATTTTAATTTATTTATTTTTAATCTGACCAGAGAGGGACAGACTGGGGGGGGGGAGGGGGAGAGAGAGAAAGCAAGTTGCAAGGTCGGTCACATGGGAGTTCAGCATCCTTAACCATACCACCTGCTGGCCCCCAAGATTGTATAGTTCTTAATATTCCTTCAAAAATTATCTTTTGGTCTAGGATCCACCCAAATATAATGACCTACAGTGAGAGTAAAACAGTGTTTAAGTAAAATGGAAAACTTAAAGTTATAATCCTTCTTTTCATAGGAGTTTATGGTTTAAAAAGGTACAAATTAAACTGCTGACTTACCGGATCTTTAATTGGCCAATCTGGAAACCGGAGTGTATCACAAAGTTGTTTGAGGTAATAAATATTGCAAAACAGTTCGCTTTCTAGTTGTGGATAGCTGATGGCCGGAATGGGACAATACTGGTAAAGTGCTCTTGTGTTACTCTGAAGACGAGGTGTGAAATCAGCAAGATGGGCTGCAATCTTCTCTATCATGAGCCGCCTACAATTACAAAACCTCCAGTCAAGCATTATGAAGGAACCATTTTAGAGGTTAAGATAAGTATTCACTGAGCAAGATAATTACACGAATTTCTGGCCTATAATGAGAATGGGAAACCGTTACTAAGTGTATTCTAATTTTGTAAACAAAATGTTAATAGTGTAAAAAAAAAAAACAATAAAAATAAATTTATCTATAACTCACACTTATCTGTAAAGATCACAGAGGGAAAAGGCTGATACTCCTAGTATCTCCTATTAAAAAATCAGCCATTAGAAGATGAAACGGTATGGTATCTGCAAACATGAGGTATAGCCAGGAAAATCAAACTTGCAATTACCACAAAGCAGCTCACTATGTGGTATTTACTTTAGTTAACTCACCATGGTCTGTAACCTGGTCCTCAGCGAATCAGAAACTTGATTTGGTCAGGACACAGAAAGATAAATCTTTTAGACAGGAACTCATGTTAGCCCATTTTAGGAGAAAAATGTTACACAAAAATCATGCTGCTAACTTCTTCATATTTCTAGATACTTTTTCCCAATGAAAAATACTACTGCCAGAGAGCATATATTCCAATTAGTGCCTACCAGTTGCCAAAACTACAGGTCAATCTAACTGAAAAGTCAAATGATAAGCAGCAAGTAATATGGACAGGGTGAAGTCGGTGTGAGGACAGTGAACCACTGACTTGGAGGATCAAATCCCATCTAGCTAACAGGAGTGAGGGTCCTTCACAGGGGCAGCCCTGACATTGGAATTATGAAGGCTCTCAAGTCTTTTTTGAACAGAGCCCGGCTGGAAAATGTCATCTGCCTCTACGCCTCTTCTTTTTCTGAGTTTCCACAGGCTTCTCCTATGGCATTCTCCTCCAAGAAAGACAGTCCTTAGAAAGCTAACCTCTAGATTAAGGTCAAAACATGGTGGACACGAAACCCTCACTCTAAAGGAATTTGGGGTAGCTCTGTTCTGATCCATTCTAGTGGAATACAGTCCTACTTCCAAATACCCAGGAGGTACATCTTGACTTTAACCCTATACATTCCCTACATACATATTATCAGTTCACTGCCTAAATTCTTGTGTGTGTGTTTTTTTTTTTTTTTTTTGAGAGGTTTTTTCTACAGGGCACATGGACTCACCAGGAGAGACAAACAAAGAGACAGAAAGTGAGAAACCACTCCCCACGGGGGATGGCCACACCGCAATCCCTTCTCCTCCATTCTCCTCTCAGGATCTTTGTGCACACACACGCGCCCAGTTTGAGTTTAAGCCACCAGGTCCGGGACTCAAACTGAGGTCGACTACATGGAAGTTCAGCGACATAGCCATTACGCTAACTGCTGGTTTCCCTTCACTGCCTAAACTATCAACCAGTTCTATAAACTGATTTAAAAAGCACCAGTCGTAGTTGGCCCAATTCTTAGATAAAGCTCTGTTTTGTCCAATCATGTCAGAACAGAAAATACCTTAAGGCCTTGCTTGTCAAAGCCCACCATCTGATTTGGTACCAATCTAAAGCAACTATAGTTGCTTTAGATTTTGAAGCCAGTAAAAACAAAGTCCCAACAGATGGGAAATCACTATGATCCTGAATATAAAATACATCTGACTTGTGACTTACCTCATTTCACTGCTCCAGATTGCTTCTGGTGTATCAAATTCTCCTAGAAAAATCTCAGAAAACTTTTCGGGTTCATAATTTTCTAAGTAGCAAACCATTGCTTCAGGTAGAATGTGCCCAAGTATACTTCTCTGAAAAATATCTTGTCCTTTTGTCTTAAAACAAAACAAAGTTTAGTCAGGACGCTAAAGATGTTTTTTACTTTCTAGTAAATTAATTATGACTAGAGAACATTTTTTTTTTTGAGGTTTTCGCTATAGGGCGTGTGCGCTCGCCAGACAGAGAGAGACATAGAGACAGAAAGCGAGAAATCACCCCCCAGGGGGGATGGTCACGCTGCAATCCCTTCTCCTCCATTCTCCTCGGGATCTTGGGCACACACGCACACGCGCCCGGCGTGAGTTTTAAGCCACCGGGTCCGGAACACGAACCGTGATCGACTACGTGGGAGTCCAGCGACATAGTCATTATGCTAATGCTGGTTCCCGACTAGAGTACATTTTAAGAAAAGAACATAACTGGAACAAATTGCTTTAATGGATATTTAGATGGAAACACAACAAAATGTGAAATGAAAGGTGTCTGGTGCAAACTAGCTTGGCACGGGCTCCACAGCATAACCGACAGCCTCCAGCCCTGTAGAAGGCACTAACCTTTTCAAGGGCCAGGCGCTGCCAGTGTTATTTAGGTGTGGCTGTCTGTGACCGCGTGTAACAGTAATGGGCCGTGCACAAAAAAGACCCTGTGAGGACAAGCACCAGGCACTCATGACACTGCTGGCTGTCTTCCTACCTACACCTGCTTTTACTTTCAAACACAAGGCTCAGAGGAGCCTGAAGGACATGCTACTTATGGAATATGGCTAGAATCTAGATGAGAATTTCTACTCATGGTAATTACAACCAGTTCATATTCCCTAGCTGGCCAAATGGAGTTGGGCTAATGATACACTTTACCTTAATATACACATATACTGGGCTGTCAGAAAAGTCATGATACATTTCTGCATAGAAAAACATACAAAAATACATCGTGAGTTTTCCAACAATCTAGTGTTATATGTGTGCACTTACCAAGAGAGAGCGCCCCCAAAGGAGCACGGGTGCGCCCTAACCCGTTTCCTCCATTTCTCTACCCCAACATACACACACGGGTATCCAGTATGTGTTTTAAGCTGTTGAGACCAGGATTTGAATGATGGCTGGCCACAGGGTTCCACATTTACCTGCTTTCTGACATTAGTTCCTTTCCCCTGAGTCTCATCAGTTTTATTAGGGTTAGAATACCATACTGGCTTCCTCCAAATGAATCCCTATGTCTGGAGCTTGGTTAGAACTTTATTCCCACATAAACCAAACTTGTGGCTATGTTATTTGGGCCCTGCCATGATACCGGACATAACCAAAAAATATGAGAGTTATAGGGAAAACTTAGGGACGCTGTCCCAAATCATATTCTATTTAGTATCTCACTATCCAGAAGGCACGTAATTCCTAGGGAATTACGTGAGCAGCAGAAGCAAGAGAAAGCTACACTGGTTAAAGATACAGACACCACATCGACTTCTCTGCATCAGCATCACAATGTTCTGGTTATTTATTCATTTACTTTTCTTGGAGAGGTTTTTGCTACAGGGCGCGTGCGCTCGCCAGAAAGACAGAGAGAGACAGAGAGATAGAAAGCAAGAAATTATTCCCCAGGGGGATGGCCATGCCACAATCCCTTCTCCTCCATTCTCCTCTCGGGATCTTGGGCAGCACGCACATGCGCCCATCATGAGTTTACGCCAATGGGTCCAGGATTCGATCCGCAGTCGACTACACAGGAATTCAGTGACATAGCCATTACGCTTACTGCTGGTCCCACAATGTTCTGTTTAATTGCTCATTCACTAAGAAAAAAAGCCAGTTTGGTTAAAGTGAACAGAATGTTACAACTTACCAATTCTGAATAGCCATACCATGAAAATACATGATATTAGAAAGATGAAGGGGAGACATATTTACTGGTAAAGCACTCTAATCTCTCCATTTTGTTTACAAAAGTAGGCCATACAATGTTGATTTCACACAATATGCATTATTTGCCAAAATTTAAGTTTGTCTCAAAAAGAGCTATAGCATCATGCGTGTGAGAGATAAAGACCCGGCTCTCTGTGCCCACATCTCTGGGAATAAGGAGGGCACTGATGCTCACACATTTCTCTTCAACTGGCCCCAAGAACGCCAAAGCTGGTCTAACCTTTGCAGGCTCCTTGGTTTCCACAGTTGTACTGACTATGGCATGTGCTCCCCTTGTGTTGTTGCGCTGTGTGCAGAGGAGATCGTGCAAACACAGGTATCTGATTTTTGGCTGACTTGGTTCTGTGGAAGGCTGATCTGGGAGGAGCTAGCATCACTGATGTTTTTGACAGGGTGGCTGAGGATGCAGATGACATGGATTACTTAGCCCACTTTTTCTGTCTGATCCTTGACATAGCTGGAGTCATAGATGAGCTGCTTAAAGGCAACAATCTCTCCTTCAGGTTTTACGTTCTGCACAACAGTTTCTTCAGCTGGTTCATTCAGCATGTAGGTACTTCCATAAATAGCATTTAGCCTTGCAAATCCTTGTGGAAGTTCTCCAAGGCCAGCGAGTGGGTAAAGGTATGAGCTTTTGCCATATCTTGCCAAGGTCTCACTGTAAAGTTTAATCTTAATGATGGTTTCACAACATGGTTGGTCTAAGTATTCATCAGTTCTCTAAAGTGCAAGAGCATGACCAGTAAAATCTATCATGTCTTGTCCCAAATCAAATTTCTTGTTCATATCTCACATTGAAGTTTTCTTTGGATGAATGCCCTCAAAGTTCTACAATCTTTTTCATCAAAATTGGCAACATTCACTAGGAATTTTCTGAAGCGATGTTTTTCAAAAAGTCCCATCAAGGTAGATGCCAGGGAGTCTGCTTCGGTGGAAGGAACCTTACAGATTCTTCCTCTCTTATAAACAAAGCTCCCTTCAGTCACTTTGAAATGCAGATAATGAGTAACCTCTGTATAAAACACTATCTTAAGTAGCTGACCATCAGCCATAGTAACTTGGGAATTAACTCAACCTTCCAGTCTCTCCCTCTTCCCATGGATGCTGGTGGTGCTCCTGGTATTTTAAGTCTCCCAGTGGTGTGACAGATGCACTTTCTCCTCCGTAATATGGGTTTTGATCCATGTGAAGAGCCTTTCCATTTACTGACATTATTCTGACAGGGTACATTCTCTCAGGCCGCTGCCCAACATAACCATGTCATACTCCTCATTCATGGCAGGCCAGGGTACGGAGGACCCAAAAAAGGAGAAGGTGAAAAAGGACAAGATGCAGGGCTCTTTGGCCACTCTAAGGAGGCAGAGAAGGGCTTAGGCCATACTTGGCCTGAGGGAAAAGAGAAGACAGAAGGAGTCGTAGGATGAAGCTGATGAGGCAGTGAAGCGTGCTGCCACCTCCGACGGAGAGAGAAGGGGAAGGGGGAAGAAAGGAGGGAGCCTGTGCATTCTTTCTAATACTATTACATCCAGAGAAAAAAATGACTTAGTAACTGCACAGAATAACTGCACAGAGATATGGAAAGAAAAATGGGTGCCCAAAATTCATAATGTTACATTAAGATAGACAGCTGGCCTCAAAGCCTAGTATTAAAGGAAACCAGATCCCACAATCAGACCATGGGGTTCAAGTCCTGGACCTGGAGGCTTGAGAAACACGTAAGGTTTATTTATGCCCCAAATACTGACAGGATGGTGAAATGGAGAAGGGACTATGGCGGAACCATGCCCCATCCGAGGTGCTTTCTCCCTTTCCTTCTCTCTGGTGAGCACATATACCCTTCTAGAGAATTAAAAAAGATAGTATCATTACACAGTATATTTTTTTATATTCTCATTTTGTCTTTATAGAAAGCTTAGAAATTATGCTGCCACAGACATCACTTTAATATTATTAAACAAATTACTTTCTAGGGTTGTACTGGCTACTCTACAAGTTTGGTCTACTGTCAAGATGCTGTAATTCTGGGACCAGCAGTCAGCGTAATGGCTATATTGCTGAACTCCCATGTAGTTGACCGCGGTTTGAGTACAGGACCCAGTGGCTTAAATTCACACCGGGCACGTGTGCATGTGTGCCCAAGATCCTGAGAGGAGAATGGTAGAGAAGGGACTGCAGCATGGCCATCCCCCCGGGGGGTGATTTCTCAGTTTCTATCTCTCTCTCTCTCTCTCTCTCTCTCTCTCTCTGTCTTTCTGGCGAGCGCACATGCCCTATTGCAGAAACCTCTCAAAAAAAAAAAAAAAAAAAAAAAAAGCTGTAATTCTCTTTGGTTAATCTCCTAAACTAGGAGTCCCCAACACCAAGCCATGGTTCGGTACCAGAGCGGGGCCTATGAAGAACTGGGTCGCACAGCAGGAGGTGAGCAGTGGGTGAAGGAACAAAGCTTCATCTGTATTTGCAGTCATTCCCCATCGCTCCATTCCTGCCTGAGCTCTGCCTCCTGTCAGGTCAGCAGCAGCATTAGATTCTCATAGGAGCGTGTACACTTCTGAGAACTGTGTATGTGAGGGATTTAAGTTAAACGTTCGTTACGGGAATCTAATGCCTGATGACCTGAGGTGGAGCTGAGGCAGTGATGCTAGCCCTGGGGAGCGGCTGCCAATACTGCATGATGGTGAGTTGTATAATTATTTCATTACATGTGCAAGAGGAACAGAAATAGGTGCACAGTGAACGTAAGGTGCTTGAAATGTCCTGAAACCACTCGAGAGTTTCCTGAAACCACCCTCAACATGTGTGTGCATGCACAGAACGTTTCCAGCTTACTGAGCTGGGAATTCGAATTATATTCACCACATGGGACTGGCTTCTCAAGAGTAGTGTATTACTACTGTGCCATGAAGCCAGTTCTTCTTTGGATTGCTAGTTTTTCACCTCCATAAAGTAGCAGAAACACTTCCAACAAGTTGGGAGCTGAAAAAAAAGAAGGCTGAAGCCTTAATCTTTTTGCTATAGGGTGTGTGCACTCACTGGAAACAGAAAGAGCAGAAAGAAACAAAGTGAGAAACCATCTACCAGGGGAGATGGTCACGCCATAAGCCCTTCCCCTCTTGGGATTTTTGGCATGCACACACACCCACCCAGTGTGAGTTTCAAGCTGCTGGGTGTGGGACTCGAACAGCGGTCATGGGCCTGACCTGGAACTGTGTACAGCACCTTAAGCACTAAGCCACCTGCTGGCCATTGGCCTTACTTAATCTTAACAGAATATATGAGACTCAGGTATACAACTAATTACAAAAATTACTAATGTGGGTATTATATAAAGAGAACAACTTATATTCACAGAGGTGTCAAGTTATAATTCATAGCTGTAATTTCAATATTTGATCCTAATGGACATTCATTTTCATTTAAAACTCTTAGTTTAAACTTTCTTATGTGAACAGTACTACAAAGAATATGAAAAACATGAATAGGGACTTGCTCATAGCCCAAGAATTAAGGGAGCCCCAGATCCCACATGATCAACCACAGTTCCAGGTCAGGCCCATGGCATAAAAACAAGCTAGTCCTACGTGCTGAAATCTCTACAGGATGGAGAAAGAGAAGGAATGTGACCACACTCCATGAGGGGTCCCTTTCCCCTACCTCTTTTAACACACATGCCCTCTGACAACTAAGAAAACAATGAATAAACCAATACCTGCTTTCAAGTACTTATAATCTAGTAAACACACATAGTTCAGGAAACTGGACCGTGTCAAGACAGTTTACTCAGTGTTAAGTATTCAGAGGATTATTCTGGCTTACCTCCTCTGACTTAAAAGCCTGTTTGGTATGTGTGTATTTCAAAAACCTATAAAGAAAAATAAATTATCTGTCAGATACAGAAAGTGAGTAAGGTTTCAGCAACCTTAGTTTTCTAAAGACCAGAACTTTTATAGAGAAATGAAGGCTACAAAAGGCAACTCATAAATTTATATTTCCAAATTGTTCAAATTCTGATTAAGACAAGAACTTAAAAGAACTGGGAAGATTTTAAAAGTGTGGTCATGTTTAGGCTATCTACTAATAGAAAAAAAAAATTTAATTTTAAGGGAATGTAAAACTGCATGTAACAGTATGAATATAATTCTATTAAACCCATGTATTAAAATACTAAATGACAAAATTCTTAAGTTAGATGTGGTAAAGTGGTGTAATTCTAGTAATAGTCCCCATTCTCCTATTTTCCAAATTTTTAGACATATATTTAAACACCCTTTATAATGAAATATTTAATTAAAAAGTGATGTACTCACAAAAATTCAATGATATAAATCTGTCCATCTACTGTAATTCAAATAATAACCTTAAACAGATCACCCTCAAAGTTCTTACCGAGCAATAGGAAGCACATTGGAACCTGTATACATCATGATGAAGAAAAACACTCCGCTCAGATAGAGACGGGGTAACTGGGGGTTATCCTGCATGACGTGGCACAGCAACACAGCAACCTTCTCAACAAGGGTGGGGTCGAAGGTCAGCAACAGCTGCAAAAGCAAGAAATGCTTTGGCTACTAGGTCATAATAAAAGCACAGTATATCATCATTCACTTTAGATTTACGTATTCCATACAGTGAGGTTACAGTTTCTCATGGAGTTATAAAGTAAACATCAATGTGGTTTAAGTAAGCTTGTCTACTAGACTCAAACAAGATTTGAAAAATGATTCTTTCTACAACATTTACTGCATATAGTAAAATCTGAGAATTGATCAATATGTATAAAGAAAAAGTCCAAACATTCCTGAAATTTGTTTTGTCATAATGCTATGGTTATAACTCTTCTTATGCAAGAATCTTCCTAAATGGACTTCTCTGTGAATGACAAAACCAATCAAAGGACAGCCACACTTGAGGTTAATCCATGTTAGGTAGACATGGATAATACTATGAAGGCCACACAGGGACTTAAGGAGCAAAGTAGGGAACTCCTATCAGTGAAACAGGACTAGAAAGCAGGTCCAGGGCAGCAGGTGGCATGGTGGTTAAAGACACTGGATCCCACCTGGCCAAGTGCAGTTTGAGTCCCAGACCCAATGGCTTGACAAACACCCTGGATTGGTATGTGTGCATGCCCAAAATCCCATGAGCAGACTGCAGGAGAAGGAACTATGGCATGGCCAACCTCCTGGAGGGGTTCTTTCTCACTGCCTATTTCTCTCTCTCCAGCAAGTACACATACTATGTGACAAATTTTAAAAAAGAAAAAAGTAGATCCAAAAGTACAAATAAAAGGCAAGAGGGTGAACAAGTACCAGAAGTACCAGGCAAAAATTCAAGTACTAGAAAGTACCAAAAGGGTAACTTCAGAAATCTGAACTAGAAGTGGGAATAGCAGTTGTTATAATGGCTATGTTGCTGTACTCCCATGTTGACTGCAGTTTGAGTCTCGGACCCGGTGGCTTAAAACTCACACAGGGCGCATGTGCGTGTGTGCCCAAGATCCCAAGAGGAGAATGGAGGAGAAGGGATTGTGGCGTGGCCATCCCCCACTGGGGATGATTCTCACTTCCTGTCTCTGTCTTTCTGGCGAGCACGCGCGACCTATAGGAAAAAACTCTAAAAAAAAAACAACCAAAAAAGAGAAATCTGAGCTAGAAGTAATGAAGGGGATATCTGAAATGTTGTAATGAATTTGAGCTAATAATAAAATAAATAGAAAGTGCTATAAGTAATTATTTGATGAACATGTTTAATAGTTTATCTATGAAGGCTGATAAAGATAGAATTTTAATTTTCCATAAACACTTGCTTCCAAAGAATCCCCAGTTTTGAGTTAAATGCTATAATAAGAAGGTAAGTACTGATTAGATTAGAAAGTCTAAGCCCTGGGCTCAGGTGTAAGCCTGGACAACCAAGTCTTTTAAGTAAAGAACTTATATTTTCCTGTGTTTTGGTTTATTTAACCTGTTTAACAAGGTATTTAGACTATTTCATAGTATGACATATTTTACAGAGATAAAACTGAGATACACAGAAGGTCTTCCCAGCACCTATAATTTAAGACTTGATGTTATACTTAGTATTGACAGTAAATAGAGTATTTTGAATTGTCACTTCACCCAAAAACCTAGGATACTCACTCACTTTATCTTAGATCATCAAAAATACTGACACTTTGTAAGATTATAAAACTGATGACTTCTCTTAAAGTAAAGTGAAGCTCAAAAATCCCTTTCAACTGGGACCACCAGTTAGCGTAATGGCTATGTCACTGGACTCCCATGTAGTCGACCACGGTTTGTGTCCCAGACCCGGTGGCTTAAAACTCACGCCGGGTGCGTGTGCATGTGTGCCCAAGATCCCAAGAGAGAATGGAGGAGAAGAGACTGTGGCGTGGCCATCGCCCCGGGGGGTGATTTCTCACTTTCTATCTCTCTCTGTCTATGTGGTGAGTGCATGCACCCTATAACAACAACAAAAAAAAATCCCTTCCAACCAATGGAGATATTTCTGAAAAGTACTACAGCTATTTAACTATGCTTTAACAAGATGAAAGCCTTCCAGAATATAGAAAATTAAGGGAAAAACAAAAATAACCTCTAAAACATATTTTTTGAACTCAACATAAAAAATACAGGCAGTGAGACTAGCAGTTGGTGTAATGGGTATGTCGATGGAATCCCATGTAGTTGATCGCGGTTCAAGTCCTGGACCCGGTGGCTTAAATACACGCTGGGCACATGTGCAGGCCTGCCCAAGATCCTGAGAGGAGAATGGAAGAGAAGAGATTGTGGCGTGGCCATCCCCCCCCCGGGGGGTGATTTCTCACTTTCTGTCTATCTCTCTTTCTGGCGAGTGCACACACCCTATAGCAAAAACAAACAAATATTCAAAAACAAAAAATAAACTCTCAAAAAAAAAAAAATACAGGCAGTATGTACTTTTTTTTGTTGCAGGGGGTAGAGGTTTTTGCTATAGGGTGCATACGCTTGCCGGAAAGACAGAGAGAGACAGAGACCACTTGCTTTCTCACTCTCCCTTTCTCTCTGTTTGTCTCTCTCTGGTCAAAATTGAAGAATAATGATAATAAATATAATTAAAAATAAATAAATCCTTAAAAAAAAATAACAGGGGATACCAGCAGATTGCATTAATAGTTATGTCGCTGGACTCCCATGTAGTCAAACATGTTTCGAGTTCTGGACCTGACAGTTTTAAAACTCAAGCTGGGGGCATGTGTACGCGTGACCAAAATCCTGAGAGATTGAAGGAGAAGGGGCTGCGGCATAGTCATCCCCCTGAGGGGTTAATTTCTCACTTTCTGTCTCTCTGGCAAGCACATACTCTCTATAGCAAAAAACTCTAACAACAACAACAACAACAACAAATACTGTTTTATAGGGTCATTGGGAAAGTCATGACACATCTTTGCATGGAAAAACAGGAAAATATGTTAGGACTTTTCCAACAACCTAATAGTTTAGTTTAGTAATATAAAGGAACTCACCTGAATGATATGGGGAAGACAAGTGCTGTCGGATAGCAACCTTTTCACTCTTGGTAAAGGTCGAATGATGGCATTATCTTGATCCCTAGAAAATATTTTCTACAGTCAACATTCAACGTAGTTGTTAAAGTTTGTATTTTCAGAGCATATGGCATTCTACCAGGCATGAAGCAGGTTACCTTACTTTTGGTTAATGAAAACTAAGCTCTCATACAGCTGGGAACATGATTAGGAATTTTGGTTTAAATCTATTTGGCTGTTTAATATGACTTCATTTCCTTCCATAAGATCTCCTTGTAAAACAGTACCCTAGAAAAGCCAAAGACTCTTATTTATTATTTAACTGGTTAAACTTGGTGTTGTCCAAGATACTGTCAGTGGACAATTCCCCCCAAAGGGCAAATCTATCTTTGTCACATAAATTTAAACCCTAATTTAACTACACTGAGTATTTTTTGTTTTTTTGAGAGATTTTCACTGTAGGGCGCGTGCACTCGCCAGACAGACAGAGAGAGACATAGAGACAGAAAGCGAGAAATCACCCCCCAGGGGGGATGGTCATGCCGCAATCCCTTCTCCTCCATTCTCCTCTCGGGATCTTGGGCACGCACGCACACGCGCCCAGCTTGAGTTTTAAGCCACCGGGTCCGGGACACGAACCGCGGTCGACTACGTGGGAGTCCAGCGACATAGCCATTACGCTAACTGCTGGTTCCCCTACACTGAGTATTTTTCATGTATCCTTAACTTTAATGCTACATTATTTCTAATTACTAAGAGTATGCTTCTGAGTCCAATTTGGTTTTTAAATAGAACTGGAACCACAAAAACCTGAAATATTAGAAAATATATGATAGTTTCTCAGTAATTTTCATTACAAGGTAGCCTCAGTAGTTTTTAAAAAGGATATGTATGAAAATATTTTACAAATATTGAAAAGTACCATGCGAGAGTTACAATGATGTCACTAGAGGACAAAGACACATCTTCACTAGTGAAATGGGGCAAGTTGTGGGCCTAGGCTCAACCCCAGTACTAGGAGTGGCTAACCTGATAGGGTAAGGCTTATCAGCCTGCCTGACTCCTGCCTCATACCTAATTTACATAAATACTATAGTGGGTACTACTACGAGAATGCGGCTAGTCTCAGTACTATAAAATAATTAAGACCCTCCTAGAGAAAGTTGCTTTTCAGTTGCTTTATTAATATTATTTATTTATTATTGAATAGTGTTTATTTTTGTTTTGAAAAGTTTCAATCAAAGCAGCATTCCCCCAAGGTGATGATGAGAATATCGTTGTTTTAAACCACCAGGGTAGTTCCATAACATTACTGGGGAAGCACCCACTCAAACAGATGAAGCAAGGTATTTCACAGCCCGCTGCTAACCATCAAAGCACTCAGTCCCATTTACCTGCTTGGAAAATACCCGCACATTGTGATGAACATGTTCAGTATCAGGGTGGCGAGGTCCGTCTCATTCAGCACAGCCTGCCCACTGGCTAACAGGCACCACTTGAGCTGAGGGATCGCCTGAAGTGGTCGCCACCCATCCATGCCTTGAGCCCAGCATCTGGTTTTTGCATTTAACATTCCTTTGGTCCACAATTCTTGCATCTTAATGGATGGAACACATCATTATTACAAACAGACAAAGTAAAATGAACAATTTCACCAATGTTTCCTATTTTATAGGAAACACATACTAAACTATGAAATACACAAGTTCACTATCAAAACAAATAATTTTTTGTTCACACATATTTGAGAATCCAAATATAGCTAATAATACAAGAAAAACCACCATTTAGTTGGCCAACTTGCAGAGCATAAGGAACACTGGAAAGAGAAAACCAGCAGCCAGAGTATGAAACTACTGAATTATGATAAAAGTGAATACTGGGTCCTCTATAACTTATCTTTAGCCAAATTCTGACTGAACTTGAGAGGCTGAGGATGGAAGAGCAGGATCACTTAGAAGCAAATGAAGAGGGCAATCACCCTCATGGACTGAATAAGCAATTTTTAGTGAATTTCAGACTGCAGAGCAGAAGTATTACACTTAGACCTAATTACTAAGACAAATAATTGTTAGATAAACTCATTAAAAGCCTACTACCTCTGTAATGACAGCTTTTATAACAGAACTATGACACAATTTTATATACACGTGTGGTTTTCTAGAAGTGCCAGCTCTCTCTCTCATATGGAAATGGAGTCGCAGAGAGCTGGTAATGGCAGTTCAAATCACCGTTTTAAAATATTCCACATCTCTGTGTGCACTAAGCAGGAGGGAATACCATAGGTTGAGACCCTTATAAAAACATTCTTCAAGATACGTACCTCATGAAATCCATAAGGGCCACTCCTTTCTTTGTCTGCATTGCCAAAATACCATTCCTTTTCACTCTCTCTTTTCATATCTGGAGCAGCCTCAATTACATTGCTCTAAGTTTAAGACAACATTTTAGTTATTGTCCAAAGCATAAGTCTAAAGGTAAGGGTATCAAAAAACACAATTATGGGGCCAGCAGTTGGCGTAATGGCTATGTCGCCGGACTCCCACAGACAACCATGGTTTGAGTCCCGGACATGGTGGCTTAAACTCACGCCGGGCGCGTGTGTGTGCGCGCCCAAGATCCCAAGAGGAGAATGGAGGAGAGGGGATCGGGGCATGGCCATCTCCCCTGGGGGAGTGATTTCTCACTTTCTGTCTGTCTTTCTGGTGAGCACACGTGCCCTATAGCAAAAACCTCTCCACAAAAAAAAAAAAAATAAAAGAAAGAAAAACCCCCACAATTATACAGTGCTTATTACTTTGAAGGCTTAATATTCCTTTAGAAATTCAACTGAAATATTAAGTGACCTTATTTTATTCATGAGAGAGAGACAAAGAAAGAGAAAAAGAGGAGATAGAGAGAGAGAAGGAGGTAAAGAGGGAAGCTTCCCCGACAGGGTCTCATAATGCTGCAGTCCTCTTTCTGGGCTCCTGAGGGTCCTGGGCGTGTGCCCAACATGGTTTCAAGCCACCTTGGGCTTCTGAAGCCACAGTCAGCCACATGGCTTCCAGCACTGCTGTCAACTAAGCCTCTGGGCTGTGCTTAAGTGATCCTATACATTTGAAATAAATAACCATTTGTTTTGTTCCCTGGTTTCCTCATCTGTAAAATGGGAACAATGATGGCAACCACCTAGTAGGGATATGGGAATTAAGGAATCACTGTATTACGTGTAGAACAGGAACTAGGACACTGGATGATGAGGGTCACAATTACTACCATTCATACCCCTAAATATTCAAATGGTACTTTTTAAGTGCACGAATTAAGATAAAATCTAACATGATACATCTACTAGTACCAGGAAAGTACACAAAAACAGAACGTACGACCCTGCTGTGTAGACACACAGGTAGGACCACCACCTGGGAGACTGGGAGTCACGGGGAGACAGGGCTGGTTCTCAGGCCAGGCTGAGCATGTCGGATCAGCTTTAAGCGCCTGTAGTCCTTGGCTCATTGGGAATCTGGGGCAGGAAGACTGTGACACAAGACCCTGTCAAAATACCTCTTTCCCTTTCTGTCTCTCTCTCTCTCCCTTTCCTAATAAAAAGATGAACTGGGAGGGGTACAGCCAAGAAAAAAAGAACATTAAAAAATGTGACCAGCAGATGGCATAATGGTTACATCACTGAACTCCCATGTGGTAGACCATGGTTTGAGTCCCAGACCCAGTGACTTAAAACTCATGCTGGGCCCATATAAGTGCATGCCCAAAATCCCAAGAGGAGAATGGAGAAGGGACTGCAGCATGGTCATGCACCTTGGGGGTATGATTTCCCACTTTGTCTTTATCTCTCTCTCTCTGTCTCTCCAGTGAGTGCAAGTGCCCTATAGCAAAATAAACTCTCAAAAAAAAAGAAAAAAAATCGAATGAGCTAAGGATACATATATATATATCCCTTTCATAAATTAGGTATCAGAAGACTTGCATCTTTGTCTTCTTGGATGGTTTCGATAAGGCCTCCAGGTTCCCGAAGGCAAAGCTTATTCCCAGTGCCTATGAATGCTGAAAGTCCTAGTTACACATCTAAAGAATTTGGTTTAGACCCTAAATGTCACATTGTCTTAACATAAGCCATAATAAAGATATAGTTTTTTAAAAAGACAAAAGAAAACTAAAAAGTGGATTCTTATTGTCTGTTATACATTGCTCTTATGGTGATTTCATTTTTATGTATGTGAATTAATCTCCTAAGCATTGGTAATTGAGTAGTAAGAAAAGTCATGATATATTTTTCTATGCAAAATGGTGTCATGACTTTTCCAATGACCCAATATTATAATTATTGGAGAAATACACTCTTGATCACATACAGTAACATATTTTCAGGTTTCAGTTTCTCTTGGCCCTACAACCGTATTCCAAGAGGGTCCAGCTGGCCCCCCGGACCAGGACACATACCTGCAGAGGCACTGTGGCCCGGCTGACGTGCAGATGTGCAAGGGTAAGCAAGTCGACGAGGATTCGGACTCCGTTGGAATCCATGAGGTCCTTAACATTCTTCTGAGAGAGAAAACATTTGCACATACTCAAACATTTTTCTCTCCAACAGGTTATTACCAAGAAGGTTCTCAAAAAGAGTACTTGGAATCTCTTTGGAAATGACTGACACGCAACTGGTATGACTTTGTGTTTTCAGGGTTTTGTGTCCAAGAAGCATGAATTTAGAAGATTAAAAAGGCAAAACAACATTTTAAAAAGAGAATACCTAAGAGCTTATACTTAAATATATTCTGAACAAATAAACAAAAACTCCACAAAAAACAAAAAATTTAAAAACAGCATGATAAACTCTTGGTTCTACTGTTATTCTGCCAAGGTCTTTTTACTAAACAGATTATTCTATAATCAGAAATAAAATCTGCTATATTACAATCTTTCAATATTCTAGTTTTTTTAAACTTAAAGATTGGTAATTCTTAGAAATTAGAGATTATAATTTAGATAAAAATTTCACTGGGGCCAGCAGTTAGCATAATGGTTATGTAGCTGAACTCTGATATAGTCAACCGCAGTTCAAGTCCTGGACCTGGTGGCTTAAACTAACACTGGGCATGTGTGCGTGCGTGCCCAAAATCCCGAGAGGAGAATGGAGGAGAAGGGACTGCGGTGTGGTCATCCCCCCTGGGGGGTGATTTCTCACTTTCTGTCTCTCTGGCGAGCACATGCACCCTGTAGAAAAAAAAACCCTCTAAAAAAATAATTAAGATAAAAATTTCCTAGGGCTAATTACCCTTAATTACCCTTAATTTAAAAACATTTGCGTTACTTACAAAAAGTAAGAATAAATGTGGGAAAGTTAGTATTAAAATATCAAAATTTCAAAAAAATAGAGTCTGCTTAAACTTTTTTTTTTTTTTTTAAGAGAGATTGTTGAGGTGTCAGCAGATGGTGTAGCAGTTACGCCGCTGGACTCCCACAGAGTTGACTGAATTTGAGTCCCAAATCTGAAGAATTGAGACTTATGCTGGGTGTGTACATATGTGTGCCCAAATTCTGAGGGGAATGGAGGAGAAAGGATTGCAGCATGGTCATCCACCCTGGGCAGATGACTTCTCACTGTCTGTCTCTCTCTCGCTATCTCTCCTGCAAATACATAAATACATGTGCCCTACAGCAAAATCTTTCTTTAAAAATAAAAACAACAAAAGCCCACTACACCCTGTGCTGGTCTCTTAACGTGTAACTGTGAATGTTTATTAGAAACCAGCATGAGCCTACTAAGAGGCATGTTTAAAAGGAGAATGCAGAGGCCAGCAGGGGCCGTGGTAGTTAAGGGCACTGGAAACCCACATGACCGAAAGCTGTTCGGGTCCCAGACCTCTCTCTCATTCTGTCCCTCTCTGGTCAAATAAAAATCAAACAAATTAATTAATTAAAAAGAAGATACAATTAAAAAACAAACAAAACAAAAAAAGCAAACTGACTTCTGATTTTTTTATCTTCAAATTACTTTTTATCACCAAAATGTATATTGATAAACTAAAAACTTTCCATAATATATGAAGCATTTACTTTACCTAAAATTTAATCCTAAAGATTAAAGAAAAAAATCAGCTAATTTGTCCCCCCCCCCCCCATTACTCCTCATTCAGAATTATACTATCATTAATTTACTAAGTACTTGCAATATTAGGGAAGAATTTACAGGGAACAGGCAAAAACTTTTTCCTCCAGTAATTTAGGTCACAGTGCTTTCAGATTTAAAACACAAAATAATAGAATTATTTCTGGATAATTAACACAGTAATAGCGATATCTTTACATATTCATATAACTTGGAAACAGTAGTGCATTTACACAGAAATACTGTACCTTATTAAGGATCAACTTATTAAGGAAGAGGATCAGCCTATCTCGTTCAAGTTTATCTGTGCACTATTAAAATACATAAAAAGTCAGTTAAAAGGGAGTACAAACTCAAATTAAGAATTATCATCACTAGACGAATCAACCAATACCCTCCCTACGAAATAATGTCATTTGGGGCTGGCAAGTGGTGTGGTGGTTAGGGGTGCTAGACTCCCACAAGGCTAACCACGATTCGAATCCCAGACCTGGTGCCCTGCTTTCTCTCATTCTGTGTCGCTCTGCTCAAATTGAAAATAACTGTAATAGTAAATAAAATAAAGGAAATAATTTTTAAAAAAAGAATGTCATTTATTACTATTCTTCAACCTCTTACATAGTCTCTAATTTTATGTAACTTGCCTAATTTCTCAAGGAAGGTAGATATTTTTAAAGTTATTAAACAAACTAATATGTAGCTTTAAAGGAAGTACGTAAAAATGGAAATGGTTCAAATACCACTCTTGAATTAAGCAAAAATTCTGAAAGACTGATAAATAATGTTTCACATAAATCACATCACGAACAACACAAACAAAAAGGAAACCCTACCTACATGACAGATACGCTGTCAGTACCCCCGGTTCACTGTGATGGCAATGAAGGAGAACCCAGTGTGCAGCCCAGTGTGACAGCAACAGGAAGGAGTGCGGACTTCTGTCCTGGTTATGTTACTTACTGAGTATGTGCACAACCTATTCAGAATCAGGTCTCTAATCCGTGAAACACAGTTCACAGGTAAGGCAACTACAGTAAGGATCAAAGGCTCTTTGAAAACTTGGTAAAATGGTTCTACTGTAGTAGTTCATTGAAATTTAAAGTAGTAAAACATAAAAGGGATGTGGACACAAATGAAAGACTAAAGTGTATGCTCTGCAACAAGTAGATAATACTCAAATGAGCTACATAATGAATGAACTGGTTAATTTATCCTTCCATCATGCTTAAGTATTAAATGATGAACTTTATGCAATAAAAGAATGTGTTAAATCAAGGTTTTCTGGTTATTGTACAGTTCTAAAAATTTTACTATCTTCACACTTAAATGTGAAGTGTACTAGCATTATTTAAATTTCTCCAAAATGGAAAACTAAAGGTACATACAACTCTAGAAGTCATTATTTCTTTTATACACCTGTCTAGCTCATCCATACTTAAATTTAAAAATTGACAACTAAGTCACTGAAATTGTTCAAAAGCAGCAACTAAATAAATAAAATTGACAAAAACAATACTAACCCATTAGTCACTTTCCTATTCTTAATTTAGATTCAAATAAGTACAGTAAAAATTACAGAAAAATTCATAAAGCATAGTAATAATGTACTTGAATACAATTTAAATATAGTTTTGAAAACTTAATACATTTCTCAAATAGCTGTTTCCTGGGATCAGCAGTTGGTGTAATGGCTGTGTCGCTGGACTCCCACGTAATCAACCGAGCTCGAGTCCCAGACCCAGTGGCTTAAACTCACACCGGGCACATGTGTGTAGGTGCCCAAGATCCCGAGAGGAGAACGGAGAAGGGATTGTGGCACGACCATCCCCCCTGGGTGGTGATTTCTCACTTTCTGTCTCTCTCTCTCTCGGGGGGCGCCCCCCCCCCAAAAAAAAAAACCCCCAAAAAAAAAAAAAAAAAAAAAAAAAAAAAAAGACATCCTTACCCTCTCTAGCATTCCAATGATATATCTGGTATCTGTAAATGGTCCTATTTCTTCATGACATCTGCCATAAACAATAGCAAGGGCTTGTAAACATAAACACTTCATGTTTACTTTCGGGGTGAGCAAGAAGCGATGATAGAGCTCATTGAAAAATTCATACCTAGATTAGAGGGAAAAAAAAGTTCACACTAGAAATACCCATGAAGCCCACAGTAAGAACAAATCGAAATACCCATTAAGCCCACAGTAGGACAAATAGAAATACCCATGAAGCCCCACAGTAGGACAAATAGAAATACCCATGAAGCCCACAGTAGGACAAATAGAAATACCCGTGAAGCCCACAGTAAGGACAACTAGAAATACCCGTGAAGCCCACAGTAGGACAACTAGAAATACCCACGAAGCTCACAGTAAGGATAACTAGAAATACCCACAAAGCCAACAGTAGGACAACTAGAAATACCCATGAAGCCCACAGTAAGGACAACTAGAAATACCCATGAAGCCCACAGTAAGAACAAATAGAAATACACATGAAGCCCACAGTAAGGACAACTAGAAATACCCATGAAGCCCACAGTAAGGACAAATAGAAATACCCATGAAGCCCACAGTAAGGACAACTAGAAATACCCATGAAGCCCACAGTAAGACAAATGTAACAGGCTAGGAGGGACAGCTCACGATCTCTTAATTGATCCACTTTCTTCATTCTCATCTTCCTCCAAAAGTAATCTCAGGTAATAGTCTCCTATTTTGATTTCCTCTGCCAGGCAGTCATATTTAACCTTTATTAAAAAAAGCAAATAACATTTTTGGTGTATAATAGATGTTTAGCAATCTGCATATATATAATCTGCTTTTTACAAATCCTTCTGTTTGGAGAATATGATTTATTAGCATACCTGGGAATTCATTATTTACTTGACTTAATATTTTAGTTAAATGTTGAGTTGGAGTTACACTGATTTTACAAATGCAAAATGTACTAATAAAAACCGTCACAACTCTTTGTGGTGTCAACAAAGGCTTAGGGAGAAAGATAATGATGTCCTAATTTCCTTCGGGGTCTGCCCTAACCAAGCACGGAGCAGACGGTCCTGCAGCACACAGAGCTGCCTAGCATGCATAGGCCACCGCAGCTCTCCCACCCCAGCCCTGCCCTGAAGTGCCAAGATTTACACACACAGGCCACTGCAGCTCTCCCACCACCCCAGCCCTGCCCTGCTGAAGTGCCAAGATTTAGAACCAACAAATCAGTGACATTTTGTATCTTGTACAGTGCACTCCTGTGCATGTCGAACTGCCCTAGATTACTCACTGGAGGCACTATGTGAAGGATAAGCCCAAGATCAGGAGTTGGGGCAGCACTGTGACCCATGCACTCAGACTGTGTGTCTCAGAGAAACATTTACAGACAATTGTAAAAGGGAATTCCTTGACCAAATTATCAACATTATTTTCCCAAAGCCTAAAAAATGACGCACTTTGCTCCCAGACCTGGCAGTTGGAGAAACACAGTGAGTGTGTGCAGGTGTGCCCAAACATTCGATGGCAGAAGGGGCTGTAGCAGGCCTCCGTGGAAAGTGCTCTCCATCCCTCTCCCAGAAAGCATGTATGCCTCTTAGCACTCAGGCTCACACACATGCATAAACAGGTATTCCCATAAAAATCAAATCATTCCATCTATACATACAGCTCCATTTCATGTTCTGTCTATGAATTCTGGGCATTCAGTGCATTCAACTGATAATAATCATTATTTTTTGAGAGGGAGGTTTTTGCTATAGGGTATATTCACTTACCAAAGAGAGGGGGAGAGGGAGAGAGAAAGCAAGAAATCACTACCCCTCAGCAATCCCTCCCCTCTTAGGAGTCTAAGCGTGCACACACAGGCTCCTGGTGTAATTTCAAGCCTCTGTATCCGGGACTCTAACAGAGGTTAGCCATGTGGGAGTCTAGCACTTTAACCACCATGCCATCCACTGGCACCTCGATATACAATTTTAAGCATATACTGTGCGCCATGAACTGTTACAGTCACTGGAGATACAGCAATGAACAAACATAAAAATTTCTGCCCTCATAGGTGTAGCCGATTAAAAAAAAAAAAAAAAGGAAAATATGTATATGTACAATAGCTGAGTGACAATAAGTTCCATTCCAGAAACGAAAGGAAGAAACAAGTTATGAAGCTACCCAGGGAAAAGATTACTCTAGGCAGATGGAACAGCAAGCAAAAACACCTTGAGGCAAGAACAAGAATCTGGTGTTTTCAGAAAGCCAGCGCGGTCAGAACACAGTGAGTGAGGGAGGCAGTAGTAGAGGAGACTGAAGAATGGGACACAGGGGTGGTCGGCACCAAGGCAGCACTCCCTAACACTGGAGTCCCAGGGGAGGCCCCAGGTCGGCTTCCCAAGGCCTTTCTGTGCACGCTGGGCCTGCTGATCCTTCTGGCTGAGGCCATCAGTGGACCAAAGCATAAGGCCTCGGTGGAAATGTCTGTCTGTCTGTCTGTCTCTCTCTCTATCCTATGAAAAAGTAAACTTATAACACTGTAAAAATAGAGACAACCCCTCCCCACACACACAGTAATATTAGGTGCTGGGGAGGGAGGGTCCACATATCTGTTTTGTAAAGTCATTTCAAGGACTTGAACTTTCACTAAGTGAAATGGGAAGTCACAGGAGCACTGATAGTCTGAGCGGAGAAATGATATGATCAGCTTACATTTTAACAAGATCACCCTGCTCGCATGCTGCTAACAGATTATGAGGCAAGGGTGGAAGCAGTGATATCTTCATGATCCGTTACCAAAAAGATGGGTTCTGGATATGTCTGGAAGGTCCGGTGAACAGCATTTGCTGACAAAATGGATTTGGGGTACAAAATAAAATGAAATTTCAAGGGTTTTGACAAGAAAATAAGGAGTAGCCATTATCTAAGACCAGAAAGACTACAAGAGAAGGAGGCGTAGAGGAAGAAAAAAAGCATGACATTGAAAAAAGTTCTAGGCGGCCGGGGGCTCCCGCCCCTGCGCAGCCGGGCGCTGGGAACGGCCTGGCCCCCACTCCGGGGGCCCCGCGGCTGGGGGCTGACGCCCCTGCACAGCTGCGCGCCTCTCCGACGCTGGATGGCCCGGAAGCCGAAAACAAGGTTGAAGAACTTGCAACTTGAGAAGATGATAGCTACCAGCCCTGCATTACCTCAGGGGAAAACAAGAACTACTCTGCCATTCTTAAGGAAGCCAGATACCCAAGGACAACTCACACTGCAGATCCCCACAACACCATTCCTGGTAACTACAAGATGACTGCTGTGCCGCATCAGCTGATAATCATCCCTGCGTACCAGAACTGCTTTCCTGAAACTGCATTCCCTGGAGACTCACCTACACTTGCGGATCTGCAGGAGACCCTCCCTTAATCCAACCCTGAGTGGAGTTTATGCTCCCTATTGCCAAAAACTTTATGAGCTGATGGTTGGAACTCGTGGCCTCTCTCCCTTTACTTGTATGTATCACTTTTTCAGTAACTCTTCTGGAAGACAACTGTATATAGCAGGGATATTGTAATGGGAGAAAAAAAAAAATTGGATATTTGATGGCTGCAGTGAGCGGTATGGGCCCAGTTGGGTTCTACTTTATAGTATGCTCTTTTTACCCAATGGGGTTTAGGCCTAAAGTCAGACTTGAGTTCATGTAGAGGCATGTGTCAGCTGTGATAACTATTGGAGAGACTTAGACTAATTAAGATCACTGACAGATCATTTGGGGAGGGGTGAGGCACGGAGGGCAATCGGGGATGACAGGGACAATGTGGGAGGAGGATGGGTCATAACAGAGGGAGGGGGATGGGGAATCTAGGATGGTAAAACAAAAGGCAAGGTATGCAGGACACAAGAATTGGGAAATTATTTGCTGAGAACATATATGTTGACGTGCTTGATTGAGCCAATGCACAGTGTATTTTGGATGGAAAATTCATTTGTGTGTTGTGATGGGGAAAAAATTATAATAAAAAATAAACTATAAAAAAAAGAGAGAAGAGGATAGAGAAAGATAGCAAGTGAACAATAGAGAGGATGTTAGTGAGAAACAGATATGGTTTATTATCTGTTGATGATGACGTGTATAGTATTCTCAACTGGACTGGTCTGGGAAGTATTTCATGATGGGTGAAGTCTTTTAACAAGCAAAATGAGAAATAGTGATTGACTGTTTTAAAAAATTATAATAATAATAATTATTGGGAAATGCATGGAAAAGACATTGAATGATAAAGCTGGGAGATTGATGTCTCTGTACTGACTGACATACATGGCATTCCCTTTTGAAAAAGCAATGGAAGTCAATGTAAAGTTATATGTAATCCAATGTAATATAAAGAAGATTATGATGATAATATAAATAAATTAAAAAAAAAAAAGAAAAAAGTTCTAGAGACTTTAATATTCAATTATGAGATAAAAGTCTAAGCAGGAGGTAAAAAATCTAGGAATCATCAGCTAACAAAACATTCAGGGCCAGCCTCATGACCCAGCAGTTAGAGCTGCCAGATACTACACGGCCAACCACACGTCTGCAATCTCAGTCTCAGTGGCTTGGAGAAAACGCTGGGTGCATATGCACGCATGCCTCACAGCTCAACAGAGTGGAGAAAGCGAGAAGGAGACGGAATTGTGGGTAACTATGCCCGCTGCAGGATGTTCCTTCCTACCTCCCTCCACTCCCTCAAGCACATAGGCCCTCTGGCAAATTTAAACACACAACAGCAAAATGACCACATTCAGAATGAAATCATAGTGAAATAAGTAATCAAACAAGCTACAAAAAACAAGGCAGACAGATTATGTTTCAGAAGATAAAGAATCTGAAGTTCCCAGAAATAGAAAAACAAAACAAAAACACAAGAATAGATATGGAATATGCAGTATGAAATATATTAAAACACTTACGTTATCAGTTGTTACTTGACAAAATTAATATTTATTTTTGTCTTACATAAAGATGAAAATTTTCCAATATTTTCTCCATAATGTCAAGGGAGAAAGGTAAAAACATAAGCTTATAATTATAAATTTATATGTTTAAAACTCCAAAAGCAGTACATGCTTTATTTTTTAAATTAATATACTGCAAAGACTCACCTCGAACTCGTGGTGGTTCCAAGAGATCACACTGGCACTGCCCAGCTCTCTGTCAATGTTAAACGCTCTCATCTCAGATTCAAGAGCGTCTTTTAGCTCTTCTCGTGTTTTGAAATTCCAAATAAGATTTGACCTGGCATGGTCTTGACCAAACCTAGATATACGCATAATCAGAAAATAACAGAAAGCCATAAATAGTTAAAATCATCTACAAATATACCTTACTACATCTTATAATAAGAAAATAGTAGAATTAATATACGTTAGCAAATATAAAGAAAACTGGTGTAAAGCAAATACATACAATTAAATGTTAATGGTAGAATATTTATTAGAGAATTATTTTATTTAACTTAATTAATTCATTTATTTTTAAATTTTGACCACAGAGGGACAGAGTGAGAGAGAGAGGGAGTGAGAAGGGAAGTCGCCAGGTCCAAGACTCGAACTGCGGTCTGCCATGTGGGAGTCTAGCACCCCTAACCGCCACACCACCTGCCGGCACCATTAATGGTAGAATCTTAATAGGTATACAGGTATTCACTATAAATTTTTTTCAACTTTTCCATATATTTGAAAGTATTTTTAATAAAATGTTGGAAAAAAATGAATCTAAACTATAAACCAAATCTGTATAAATTAAAAAACAAACAAACAAAAAAATCTACTTCAACTCAAGCATTTATTGCTAATACAAATTCCAGATAGAAAAAAATTCCAATTTCAGTTTGGGGATAAGAATTTCTGGACTCCTTTTGAGTGTGATCTATGCAGGGGTAGGCAACAGACATTAGGTCCTTACAGACTACCCAAAAAAGAATGATGCTAAACTGCTAGGCTTTGAATGAGTATTTTCAAATTATTTCCTTAGACTTTGGCAATAATGTAACCACTGTAATAAATTTAGGTGCAAGTCTGAATTGGGGGTGAGTGGCCTTCCTATCTGCTCACTGTAGGTCTGCAACCCTCTTACACCTGCAGTCTCTTCTCAGGGCACCACGGACTTTCTAGAGGGAACATGACAGAAGGATATGCTGAGGGAGAAGTCCAAGGAACAGAATCAGGGTACACTAACTACGTGCTGCCACTTTAATAGAAGTAGTGTGGAAAGGAACAGAATTAGGGCATACTAACTGTGTGCTGGCCACTTTAATAGAAGAAGTGTGGAGTTTCTGATTCACTTGTTTTCCTTCAATTATCCAATACATGAGCTTCCAATCTGAGTACTGTGAGTTGTTTTAAAGAAGTTTTGTGGGGTCAGCAGGTGATATGGTGGTTAAGGCACTGGACTCTCACATGGCCAACCAAGGTTCGAGCCCAGGACCTGATGATTTAGAAATCACACCAAGTGCGTGGGCACCCAAAATCCAAAGAGAAGAATTGGAAGAAGGGATTGTGGTGTGGTCATCCTTTCAAGGGGTGATTTCTCACTTTCCCTCATTCTGTCTCTCTCTCTCTGTGGCGAGTGCACATACCCTATGTTGAAAATCTTAAGGAAGGTAAAAAGAAATCTTGCAAAATCCCGAAAATGTTTGTTTCAATGTCCTTGGGAAAAGGAGAATAAATGGTAGTAAGTGGGGAAAGAGGATGTTTATCACATGTGACAGTCTCAGAAAGCATATGAGATCGGTTAACTTGGAGACTCACTTCTCACCATCTCCTTACATTTTAAGACTCCATTTCTAACAAGGCTCAAAGGAGGTACATGATTATTTCTAAGCCACCATGAAGTGTTTTAAAGTAACCATGTCTAAGTATTAATAAAATCTTTAAAAAATAATTTTAGCTACTCAGACTATCCACATTCTATTAAAAAAAAAAACCTTAAGTATTATGGAAGCATTTATAATCAATCTTAACAGTTATAGTTCTTTCTTTCTTTATTTTTTTGGAGAGGTTTTTCCTATAGGGCGCATGCGCTCGCCAGAAAGACACAGAGAGACAGAGAGAACAAAAGAGAAAAATCACCCCCCGGGGGGGATGGCCATGCTATAATCCCTTCTCCTCCATTCTCCTCTCAAGATCTTGGGCATACACGCACACACACCCGACGTGCGTTTAAGCCACCAGGTCCAGGACTCAAACCACAGTCGACTACATGGGAGTCCAGTAACATAGCCATGACGCCAACTGCTGGTCCCAATAGTTATAGTTCTTGACCTTGACAGCATAAAGGTATCTGTGGCATAAAACACTAGTTTTAGAGAAAAAAAAAATTCAGTCGATACCTCTAATGACAATGCCAAACTTAATCTAATTGGGAAAGAAGACTAAAGTTTACCTATAATAGAAGAGATCCCAATTTGCTTCAATTTTTATTCTTTGTCTTCTCTTTCGAAGAACCACTGGCTTTTGATTTACATTCTGGAAAACAAGAAAGTGTCATGGTGTTCAATCTGGAGTCCAAATAAGTTCACTTAGAGTATCATCACTTTATAGGTGATAAACAATTCTTTCATCCAGTTTTTACAGAAATTAATGAGGCAAAATCTATAAAATACTAATATAAACGATTCAATTATACCATACATGATAATTTTCCAGCATTTCTATGGTATTGCTCAAGTATCTTTCATGAAGCATAAAGTTACTGTTTCAACACCAAATTGTATTAAAGTTTATAGTGATCATTAATAACATTTGTAACATTATAGTCATGAACAGCAGCTTATGTCAAACATTTACATGCAGTTAAGACAAAAGTCACGGGAAAGCAATAAATGCAAAATGGTTTAGGTTATAAAACTGCTACCAAAGCCAAGAGGAGCAAGTACAAGCTGCAATAGTAAACAAAGAGGAAATGAGTGTCTACATTCAGACACACGTGAGGTAAGACCTGAATTAATTTATTAAAGAATATCAAAGATGACTCTACATGCCAGGCAAATTAATGCATTTCACACATGTGGCAGGGACATAAACTCACCATGTTGTTTCTTTCCTGAATTTAAGTGTAAAAAGGAAGAAATTAAAAATTTTTAAAAATAAAGAGAGCAAGCCCAGATCTCTAACTCATACCTATGATACAATTTTTCTTGAGGATGCCACCAACGAAAATCATCTTTACTTTAAGACAGAAAATGGCCCACCTACTTCTCTAAGTCCATGACTCAAATTTTAGACAGTCATAAACCTTTGAGAAATGTAGGAAGTTATGGCCAATGTCCCAAAAATAAATACATACGGAAGATTTGCAAATGGAAAAGATTTCAAAGAACCTTTGATGTCTGCGTCTGGGCTGGAGGCTAAGAATTTCTGCTCCATGTGAGACATGTATGTATTTCAGACATGAAACTAATCCTCAATGTGAAAGAAACAAAAAGTAGAGAGTGGTATAGATTGAAGTCTACAATGTCATCAAGTAGTGGTAAATTATGTAAATCAAGCAAGGAAACAAGCTACATGATACTGAAAGAATAAAGGTAAACTGAGTAGTAAATTCTAAAAGATAGATGCTGTATGAAATATAAAACCTACTGCTTATATAAGGCAATGTTTCCTATAAATTTTAATTCTGTACACTATCACAAAAATTCAAGCAAGGTGGCTTGAATAAAATGAATGTATAAACAATTTAAAATTTGGTTTTAATGACAAACCTTTCTTTAAAACTTTTAATTAAGAGGTACTTTCTCCAATTTTCCTCTCAGGACAAAAGGCTGACAGTCTAGAGAATGCTAATGTAAATGCTACATAGAGTAGCTAGCTCTCCACAAACTGAGCCAACTGAATTAGAGACGTGGGCAGAGTCCTAATTAGCTCCATAAATCTCTAAACTGAAAATAATACAAATAAAAAAATACATAATTTTATGTATTAGCCGAAGGTTACTACTGATTCCACACAGAGTATTTGCTGCAAATGGCACTGACTTCATAAACATTCTGATTATGAAAGAAATACAGTTTATTTCAAGACTACCAGTTAATCTTGACAATGGTTAGTTTTTAGACTTTAAAGCACAAGATTCATTCCATATTTTGGTATTAGTGCTTCTGTTAATAAAACAGTCACAAAGATGATCAACTATTTCCTAAAGAAATCAATGTTAAAGATAGTACCTAGAAATAATAGTGGATGGTACCAAAAGATCTTCGTGACCAGCATATTTATTTGGCATCATTATTTGCTCAAAACTTCAGATAATAATGCATGTAAATGATAACAAACCAGTAAAACATGTTTTATACTAAGAATATCTTTTCTCTATGAATTGTTATCTTTAAATAAAATATATCATCCTACCTAAATAGCTTTGTGTTCAAGCTTAGGTTGGATAAATGTTACATACAAAATCTGATGCCAAAAATTTATATGCACTATGGTAATTATATTCAACAGCTTGAAATAACTGTTATTTCAGAAATGAGTTTAACTACCTGAAGCCAGGAACTTGCAATTTTTAGTAACTGTGAAAATCTCTCATATCATATCTGCAGATTTTTCAATAGTTCAAATGCAATATAGCAATAGTAACATGACCAGATATGTATATAGTGCTTTTGTTATTCTCTTGCTTGTGTATCAAAGCAATCCTACAAGATGAAGAGGGAGGCATTGTTATTCTGATCCTATGAAAGAGAAAAGTAAGGTTCTGAAAACCTGTAACTTGGGTTAGTTAAGTGATGGACCCAGGGTCCTACGTAAGTTAACCAATTCAAAGCTCAGTACTTTCTTCACTGTCCTAGACAGTTACTTGAAAGACTGTCCAATGATTCTTTATATCATATACATCACATAACTTAGCACTAATCTACTCTGTTCAAGTTCTAAAGACTATTCCCAATTTCAGACAGACACACAAGACTACATTTGTTATGTTATGATTAGATACTATGTAGATCATGAGATACACTGATTTAGAAAGTACATATTAAAATTGTTTCCCTTAAATAAATAGCTACCGTAACAAGAGAGATGGTTAAGAGGAAGTGATGTAAGTATGATCAACAACAATTAGGAGATCAAATACACTTCTATAGGACACCTGAACTGATTCTTTCCTTTTTCTTGTAGTAGGTTTTTGCAACAGGGTGGGTGTGCTGCTAGTCAGAGAGGGACAGAGAGGGAAAGTAAGAAACCACCCCCAGGGGGGATGGCCACAATACAATCTTTTTTCCTCAATTCTCCTCTTGGGATTTTGTGTCACGTGCACACACGCCTGGTGTGAGTTTTCAAGACGCCAGGTCCAGGACTCGAACCATGGTCAGTCACATGGGAGTCTAGCTCCTTAACTACCACATAATCTGTCATAGTTAGAAGAATGTGCATTATTGAATTAAGTTCTATCACATCTACTGCATGCTGAGGAATAAGACAAAACTCTTTTAGGTATGACTTTGAGAAACTAATATTGCAAAATTTAAATACACATGATGTATTTAATTTAAAAATGCTACTTATACCCCCAAAACACTTCTATGGCTAGTACTGAATAAAAATGTTTGAATTGGCCTGGTAGCCTATAAGCTAGCACCACAGCCTAGTGGTTAAGGGAGCTGGGTCCCATACGGCTGACCACAATCTGAATCTGAATCCCAGCTATGGCTTCTTGAAAAACACAGTAAGCATGTGTGTAACACATATACAAAATCCTGACAAGAAGAAGAAATGGAAGGGAGAGGATTGTGGCATGATCATGCCCCGTAGAGGGGGTGCTGTCTTCTTCTGGCGAGCATATGTGTCCTATGGCAATCCTAAAAAATGCTTAACAAGAACACTTTTACTTCACAGGTATAAAAATGTCCAGAGAAGGAGGGAGGAAAGTAAATACACATGAATAAAAAAGTATAAAACTAGAATTTATGGGAAAAAAATTGAGTGGAATTCTATATTCAACATCTAAAATCCTAATAATTATTTCATAAAACTATGAACCAGGGAAAATGGATATAAACATGTAATTCAGAATTACGTGACACTGATTTTTAAGCTCCAGGTATCCAGGCATAAACATCTGGACACCCTCTGAGAACAATAGCAATTAAAGCAGGCCTCCGCAAGCGCTATCAAGTCTGGTGAGCAGGTCTTACTTTTACCTCTTTCTGAGCAATGCCCATCCTATCTCTCCAGTGCATCAACACAAGATCTACTTTTTCTTTGGCAAATTTTTCAACTTCTTTAGCAGCTTTTCCAGCTAGTCTTTGCCATTCTGGAACTTTAGTAAATTTTCCATACTGATCCTATAAAATAATTGAAATGTATTACATACCAGTTTTCAAATTTATTTAAAAGCTATGTAAAGCTCGATCACACTATTTACAAGATAACTCTGGAAATATACTAAAAATGATTAAACTTTATACTTAAGATAGGCGAATTTTATGAGATTTAGATTTTATCTTCAAGAAAGTTGTTAATAATAATAAAATGAATATTATACTCAAGGCAGTGAATTCTCGGGCTATTTCTAAATTCTGACCGTGTCTCAGAGCACAATATTCAAGGGCACGAGTCCTGAAGTCACTTAGCACAATCATATTTACCATTGCTATTTTCACATTGTCTCTAACATGCATCCGATCTGCATCCTTCTCCGGAACTGGGTCTGAGCTATCCAAATAGGACAGCAAGCCTGGTGGCTAGAAAAAAATAAACAAATACAAAACATAAAATTCACTTTCAAAACAATCGCACGAAAAATATCTAAAAATCAAAATAAATTAATACTAAGATTTACTGGTTTGTCCTAAATGTCATAACACATTTCCAACAACAGTTAACATGAAAGTAACATTACATGGTAACTCCTAAGATAAATACCTTTTCAGTTAAAAACAAACCCCTTTAACGGTAGAAATAACTCATTCAATGAAATGTTCTTGGACAAGAATACATAAACCTTTCCAGTTTCTGAACTGACTTACCAAAATGCGTTTCAACAAGTTTGTCGCAGTTGCATTATCAGCTGTCCAGAGTCCCACTAAATGTCTACTTAGCTGTCTGAAAAAAGCAGACGTTGAGAAAGGTTTGCTGCTTTATCTCAGCTAGAACAGAAAGGAATTTTTGAGAACAAAATATCACATAAGAAATATGGCTACAGTAAAAATACCACTCTGATGTTAAAAATAATATTAAAAAATTTCTATGTATAAGTGGAGAGGTATTTGAGAGAAACTCAAATATTGCTAATGCCTTGAAATTTTCCCCAAATTAAAATGCTTCTCTGATAAATATGCTCATTTTCAATGGATCTAAATGTGAAGAAGTAGACTTTTACCCTATTTCCATTTAAGGAAAGGAAAAAACTTTAAAAACCATTAGTTCACGGAACAATTCTTTCTTTTAACACATCCTGATATAGTGTCAATAGAATTCTGGCATTCTCTGGAATTCTGAACACAAGCAAAAGTCAACGCCTACGTTCTAATGTGAGGAAACTTCAAACTTTTTGTGGAAAGTAGAATTAAAGTATGAGTTCATTCTGGTACAAGAAAAATTTAAAGCCCATGAATAGTTTCTCCCATAGTACTAGTTTTTCATTAACTTTTAATAGGTGCCCACCGTATATAACCTTTTCACTTAATTTTTTTTAAACTTTATTAATTTATTTTAACTTGACCAGAGGGACAGAATATGAGAGAGAGAGAGAAAGAGAGAAAAAGTCGCCAAGTCCAGGACTTGAACCATGTGGGAGTCCAGCCCAGCATCCTTAACCACAATACCACCTGCTGGCCCCTCACTTAATTTTTTTTTTGAAGACGAGTTTTCACCATATCATGATCCTCCTGCTCAACATTCCACTGTGCTCAGCCTTTAGGTTGGCCTGGAAATCAAACCTGGTCCCTCCAGGTAGTTCCAGCCTGCAGAGCACACTGGCTTAGCAGAACAGCACTGTGGCTAGACCTCTAACATACCACTTTTGACAAGATCAGAGACAGAACACTTCCAATTTGAGAGTCTGAACATCAACTTAAAGCACTTAAAGTAAATTATTCTACTCATCCCACTTAAAAGCTAAAAGTGTATTTTTCACAGGGCGAGTTTTAAGATCCAGTTTCAGTCTAGGGTTTACTCTTTGATTGATCTTAATCTACATGGTATCTTCCTAACTGGGAGTTCCTCGTGAGCAAAAGCACTGTTTTACTCAGCACTGACCCTTCTGTCCTTTGACAGAAATTCAGTTGCCATTTGCTGTAAGGCCTTGAACTTAAGCCCTAAGAGGGAAATAGCCAAATAATCACCTGCTGAGTATGTATTTATATCCCTGTTAAAGGAAAACAGTTTACTAGCAAAACCCAAATTGTACTTGTCACAGAAAATGAACCCTACTAGAACTGTCACCCTATGTCTATTTGGAAGCTGACATACCAAAGTAATCGTATTTGTAATTTCTTTCACTGGTTGTTTGGTTGATATCAGTGACTTCTAAAAGGCTTTAATTAGGGATAAAAGAGATAATGTTCTATAATAGCAATTTATAAAAGATGAAATAATGCAAATGAAAACGTATCTTCGTTATATACTGATAGCTTTTAATATTATAACTTGAAATATTACTAACATTTCTAGGTTTTTCCCTAAATCAAACTGCTTTCTTTATAAATATACTAATTCACCACAGATATATATATAGATATATATAGATATAAATATCTATATATATCTATATATAGAATATATATATAGTTTTTGCTACAGGGTGCGTGTGCTCACCAGAGACAGAGGGAAAGTGAGAAATCACTCCTGGGGAGACGGAGAATGGTCACATCACATTCCCTTCTCCTCCATTCTCCTCTCAGGATTCTGGGCACCCACATACATATGCACCAGGCTTGAGTTTCAAGTCATTGGGTCCAGGACTCAAACCACTGTCAGCCACGTGGAAATCCAGTTCCTTAACAACCACACCACCTGTTGGCCCCCGATTAGCTATATTAGAAAGGAACAATACAGATGAACATCTAGCATGGAGTTTAATGGGATATACTATCAAATAGTCTGTTTTAATGAAAGATGGTGTCTAGCATTGCTAATAAGGTACTACTATCGATAAGACAATAACCTTCCTTTTAATCTCTGCCCTCTCAGCCAACACCAAAGACTTCTTCTGTAATTACTATTTACAATGCGGGATGTAGGGTGCTTCTTATGAAAGTGAACAGGACCAGCTTGGTTGTGCAGTGGTTAAAGTGGCTAGCTCCCACAGGGCCAACTGGGTGGTTTCAGTCCAAGACCTGGGAACTTTCAGTCCAAAACACACTGGGTGCGCGCGCACTCGCACACACGTGTGTGTGCCAAAAATCCAGAGAACACAGAAGGAACTGCGGCATGGCCATCCCCCCTGGAGAGTGCTTTCTCACTATCTCACTTTCTTTCTCTCTCTCCAGTGCACACACACACTTGATAGCAATTTTTTTTTCTAAAAGTGTGACCAATAGAAAGCTCTTGGCAAGGCAGCATGCTATGACAGAATAATTAGACATAGGAAACAAAAAAAGAAAACTTTACAGCACCATAACAAAGTAAAACATAAGTCAGCCATTCGTGCTATTATTTTGACAATATGATCGTACTTAGGATGCTCATTGTTTTTATTAATAAGAATCAGAATATGTAAAGTTTGAGAATGGCTAATGGTGTCACAAGGAAATGCTGAAAGGGCTGGAATTCACACAGCCAGGGATAAATGAATAGATGTTTTGCTTCCTTAATATGTATGATTATTAGCAATGAGACAATGATTCACCAAAGGGAAAATTAACTACAACAGATTTAGGATAAGTCTAGCTTAGGCTGGATATAAATTTAAGGTTTGGTTTTGTTTTAAAGTAGAGTGCCTAACTGACCAAACGAATTTTAAAGTGAACTATATGAGGCTTTCCACATAGGGCCGTGTCATGTGTAAGCTAGGTGGTCACAGGGAGTACAAGAAAAGGCCTCGCGCACACGGTCCTTGGTCCGTAAGCTTCTAGGTGCTCTATTCCATGTTCTAGTCTCAGGACCATGGGCTGAGAGCCTGATCATCAGAAAGTGGTGGGAGAGCAAGGAGTTTTTTCCCTTCAAGTTATGCAGGGGTAGGAATAATAATAGTTGGCCATGTTCCCTCTATAAGGAAGGAAAAGAAGTAAAGAAAATGGAGTATTTGTGTAATCCAAATACATATTCCATTTGTTTCATGTAATATCTGAGTTCATTTTTTAAACAGAAAGTTAATTTATAGCGAATTAAATGAAATAACCTACCTATTTGTAAGCATCCTCTGATCTGAGCTTATTGTAAACATCGCGGTGTGCAAATGTCGAGGTAAGGCACCTTCACTTAGGGCAAGCTCCTGCATTTTTGTAGCAATTTCTTTGTCACCTTCCTTTGGAAAAAGGGTAAGAAGATCCCTAAAGCAGCAATCTAGAACAAGCTACCCCAGCTTTAACAACTCGTTTTGCATCTTAAATAAAATATTTAGTATATAATAAAAATTAAAATGCAACTTCTAATTACCCCAAAATAACATAGGTAAGTAGAAATACAGGTAATTTTTAAGCTATTATTGGTATCTGGAATGTGGTTTAAATGTTTCAAATAAATTTACCTTACAAATTATGCTTTATTGAATAAATTAAAATTAGGTTCACTCCCTGTGTTTACATAAGCCACCAAAGAGGAGAAGTGACTAAGGGAAATCAGCAATTTCTACCAAAGGCATCTGCAAACTTGGCTTGCTTTTGTTCGATGTATTAATTTTCATGGTGAGCACTATCACTTTTTAAAAGAACAACATAATAAAGGTATAGTACTTTTTATTCTGATTTTACTTGGTTTATATGAACTCACTTCAGTAACTGATAAGATAAACAGGATTACTAATCAAAAGAGATTACAGACCTATGAGTTAAGTAATCAATGTACATTTAAGACGACCTGTTGAAAAGCAAAACTGCTCACGTTAGTGGAAAACAGTAGGAACATACAGTACAATTATACCTAACTGATATGTAGTATGCATGCTAATATGTACAAAGTATGTATATGTACCTACATAATTTTGAGCAGTACTGAAATCTTGAGGTACTGAGATATACAGACATGCATTCAGCAAACACTAACAGAAATCCAACAAAATGCCAATGGAAGTCATCTCTGGCTAATAAAAATGCAGGTGATTTATTTTTATTCATCCCTTGTATATTTTCAGTAACCCAAATTTTTCTTCAAAGAACGCATGTTGCTTTTATAACCAAAAAAAAATACCTAAAGACTCTTGCCAAGATTTCAATGTAGTTTTCTCACAGACATCAGCTCTACTCCCTGGCTATGAATCTGACATGACATGTATCGTTTGTTTCTGAAGCTAAGTCAGGTTATAACTGGCATTTGATAAATATTTCCGCTCCTAATACTTGCAAGGCATACATCAGGTGGATGGCAAAACATTGGTGGATCAAAGTTACGAGTATGCTTTTACTTGCCTTCATAGTCCAAACTCTTCATGGCTACTCATAGCTCTATATAAAGCAAAAGATGCGATTCTTTGGGGCTAAAATTGAGCACAGAAGGGAAATACTTACCTTTAGTTGTATATACACAGTAAAGATACAAATGAACAATGATGTTCAAACCCTTTAAATGCCTATGTATAACTTTTTTACAGACACATAAAGACATAGGAGTTCTCTGCTTATTATATAGATGTGTGCTACATTTATAATTGTTATTTATTAATTTTTCCATAAGAGGAGCACTATTATATTTTATCCAAATTGCTACTGATACAACAAACTACAAGAATTCAAAAGCCAGGTAAATCGATCTCACAGTAAACACTATGCTATGCAGCTGACACTGATAGTAGTGGGTGTAATTTTTTATAAAAACCAAAAACAAAAAGACAGACAGCTAAAGGCAACTGTCTCCGGGAAGCAGTGTCATGACTGTCAATATCATGTCCTGCTTTCTAGAGCTTTATTACAAATTCACTTCAGCATGAGGAACTTTCATGGCCATTCTTACTGAATATCACTTTGCTATGAACTAAACCCATTAACAGATGTCTATGTATCTTAGTACCTCACGATTTCAATTCTGTCACCATTATCCCCCAAAGAGTGAGCAAGAATGCTGATTTTTAATTCTTCTAAATAAAAAAAATTTTAAAAACCAGGAATGGAAACATTTATTTGTCCTATAACCTCACTTACTCAAGAACTTCAAACTCTTATTTTATTGCTGAGAACTATGTTGGCAATTAGTTTAAAACTAATTTCTCAATAAAGATTTAAAATTACTAATCTTACCAACAGGATTAGATTTTCCCATAGCAGACAGAAAGGCAATTCTGTCAATTCTATTTAAATAACCAATCTGCATTCAAGTAAGTTTAAAGTTTTAAACTCGTTCTCTCACCTCTATTATTGCCTTCATAACTAATCCAGCTCCCTTTACAATCGCCATGGAAGGATGCTTTAAAATAGGAAGAAAAAGAAACTTGGATAAAAAAGAATTTTATTCCAACACATTTAGCTACTGGCCCTTTAGGAAGATACACAATTTTATACAAGATTTAAGCTACAAAATTAATAAAAAAAACACTTCTCAAAGTTAGGTAGGTCATGGTTTGCTTATATGCTCTCACAGTATGGCTTTATGGATACAGGTTTGTAAACACAAAAAGTGTAAAAGGTTGTCACTTATTTGAATAAAATATCATACTTAATAAATTCTACAGCATTATATGAAATAAATATTATCCAGTGTTCATGACAGTCCTACTAAAGTTCATCGTATTGCTTTAAAATTTTTTTCAAAATTTTATTTTATCATTTCTTATTTAGAAATAATTGTACATCCTTAAGGCATATAATATAGCTTTTCAGAGCACGCATGCAATGACAAAATTAAAGATGTTACCATTTACATCATTTTCAAAAAAGAACCTTACCTTCTTGGGTCTGTTAAACACTTTTTTCTTAAATTCCTACCACCTAGACCTGCTACCCCTCCCCGTCCCATCCAGCCCTTGTTATCTGCATTTGTCTTCTCTACTACATCTTCAAATTATTCAATTTCTGCAAACGAACGCAGACATTTGGTATGTACTGAGTTGGAATATACAGTATCTTTCATAGTCTGGCTTATTTCACTTTGCAATAAATCTAATACATTCATCCACTTTTTATGAAGTGACAGTCTCACTGCTCTTCATGGCAGAGTCGTATTCCATAATGAGTATGTGCACATTTTTTAATCCAGTCATCCTCTGTTGGGCACGTCGGCTGATTACATGTCCTAACAACTGCGAATAATGTTGCAATAAACATTGATGTGTAAGTGTCTTTCTGTTTGGGAATTTATAAAGAAAAGGAAACTTTGGGCTTACTACTAAGGGGAAAATAAAGGAATGGAATTTCATTACTTCTGAGATGGAAAGGATGGGTAAGAGTCCAACAGTAGTCAACAGCCTTCAAGAGCTCTCTTGAAACACCAAGAAATCTCTGAATTAAAATGCTCAAGTATGATAATGTACTAGCTAAATTTGTCAACAATTGCTATAGAAGTATATATATATTATTTTAACAACAAACTGACCCCAAAAGTGGTTTTCTTTTCATTTGTTATATGATAACAAAAACATAAGCTCTCACCTGAAACAGTTTAAAGAGAGTTCTTCCATTGGATGCTACCATCTCTAAGAGCATATCAAATTGCTGCCCTTCAGTTGTCTCACTATACGGAGCACAGAGGGCAAATGTCAGGAAGTCCAAGAGTGAACTAATAACTAGGGCACCAGTCCCATGATCCTGAAACAAAGCAACAAATTGCCTTAAAGACATAGGGAACCTCTGTTAGAAATAGTAATAATGTATGTCAGACATAAACACTGACTTTCACTTCTCAGGAAGAGGTTCCAAGTTTGATGACTTCTAACTAGTACATGCTTAACTGATGTTATAAATCTATTAAGCACCATATTTAAACAGAAACATAATTGAAATTTAGTCAGATTTCAAGAGAATAACCAAAGTTTCTCAAATATGTATAACTAAGGTTAAAGTGCACAAGGGGATCTTCAAAAAGTTCAGGGAGGGCCAGCTAGTGACATGGTGGTTAAGGTACCTAGATTCCATGTGGCCAGTCAAGTTCAAGTCCAGGACTTGGTGGCTTGAAAAACATATCAGACACATGTGCGTGTCTAAAATCCCAAAAGGAGGGACGACTGAAGGAGAGAGGATTGTAGAGCTACCATGACCATTAGGGGTTGCTTTCTCACTTTCCCTCTTTTTCCCCATCTCTCTCCAGTGAGTGAGTACACATGCCCTCTAGCAAACTCAAAAACAAACAAAAAAAGAAGAAGAATTCATAGAAAATAAGTATTATGAAAAAACTATTCATAGACTTTAAAATTTTTTCCCACCAAAATTAACCATTTCCAAAACTCTTACCAGTGACTGAGGAATGAAGACTTAGCTTAATTTTTGTCCCCAAAAGGTTCATTTTTAGAATTTGGTCCACAGCGTAACAGTGTTGGAAGAAGGTAAGACCTTTAAGGAATGAGGCCTAGTGTGCAGTGTTTGGATCATGGAGGATCATTCCCATGAACAGATTAATACTGTCTTGCTTCCCATGAGTTCTAGGCCTCTCAAGAAGGGGTTACTTCCTAAGAGAACAGGGTGCTATATAAAAAAAGTACTGCTCCTACCTCTCTCACTGCATGGACCTGCTCATTCTCTCTGCTTCTGCTGGCCACGAGATACAGCACTAGAGGCCAGCCTCATGCCAGCTCTATGCCTCCGACCTTTCCAGCCACCAGAATCACAAGTCAAATACATTCCTATTCTTTATAAATGATTCAGTATAAGGTATTTCTGTTAACAACACAACAGTCCACAGGAAAACTATTTTATTATTAATGATCAAAATGAACTGTAACCAGTAACGATCAAAGATGGGGGACTACAAAAATCAAAAACAAAACAAAAACAAAAACAAAAACAACCAAAAAAATCCACGCTGCACTTGGAGAATACTTTCAGTAATGGTATGGGCACTCCCCATCAAGACAAGTTTTACTACAACTTACCACATGGGAATTAAATTTCTCCAGTAAGTTTTCCAGAAACTTCTTTGAAGAGAGAAGGGAAGCTTTGTTTAGCTGCTCCTGTCGTAAGTCATAGTCATCATGCATGGGCTATTGATAAAAACAGTGGTGATTCGTGAGCAGCCCCGAGTGCTAGCAGCACAGTCATCTACAGAGAGCATCTATTATACCCTGAGAGTCAGAGCCACAGCCTGCACAGTGTAAGGCAGAGGGAGACCAGCGACAGATGAGCAGGCCAAAGTGATGGCTTCCCTGGTGCTGACGGATTTCAGAGATAATCTGTCTAAAAATTAACTGAACATATTACTGTACAATGTACTCTCTCAAAAGTCACAGAGCTCTTATTACAGGGTAAGTACCAACTGTCCCATCACATTTTTTTTTTTTTGGAGAGGTTTTCTCTATAGGGCGAGTGTGCTCGCCAGACTGACAGAGAGAGACATAGAGACAGAAAGTGAGAAATCACCCCCCAGAGGGGATGGTCACACCACAATCCCTTCTCCTCCATTCTCCTCTCGGGATCTTGGGCACGCACGCACACACGCCCGGCGTGAGTTTTAAGTCACCGGGTCTGGGACGTGAACCACGGTCGACTACGTGGGAATCCAGCGACATAGCCATTACGCTAACTGCTGGTTCCCTCCCATCAAAATTTTATCATTTAAATTTGGAATAATAAAACTTAGCCTTTAAAGCAAGTATTAAAACTAGCAGCAAGTATGCCTTTGTCTCAAGGTGGTTCTCTCTCCATTACTGAGAGAGCAGCATAAAATGCATTCTCACGGGACGGTTCGTGGAAAAGTCAGCCCGAATTTTACTACCGACTGTAGGTGGGAAACTTCAGGCAAACAAGGCACTTTACCTCTCTAAGTCTCACTTCCCTAAGCTGGGTGTAGGGTCAACAGTACTTACCTCACAGGACTAACCATGAAACAGGTAATCCGTGTAAAACACATAGCCACAACCTGACACGTAACAAAGGCTCAAAGTGCTTATTTCACACTGTTGCTGTCTTATGTTCTAGTTATTTCACTAATTCTTTTAATGGAATTATTTGGAATAGTAAAGGCAAAAAGATAAATAAGCTTAAATTCACTCTTGGAAACATAGGAAAAGTCCTAGACATATTACTTTGTTTTATACCACTAAGCTTGCCTTAAATGCTTTATATAAGGAAAATTCCCAGACCCTACACTCAAAATAAATCAGAAACTTCAAAATTACACTGAATCACTCTCTCCCTCTGTACAGACTGTCAATAAATCAGATGATCTTTTCTCAAACAGCTTTCAAATGTGCCCCTTCTTCAGGTCCTGTCAGGCTCAGCATCTTACTCCACGCATGATAATATGGTCTACCTGCCTCTAACTTTACCCCTAAACTATTCTCCCTATACACCAGGGTAGGTTTTCTTCTTTTTTTTTTTTTTTTTTTTTTTTTTTTTTAATAGTTCTTTCTTCTGTCTATCTGTCTGTCTGTCTATCTATCTATTTATATTTGACCAGAGAGGGACGGGGGCATATGCTATTCTCTGACCCAGGAAAGCCTTCCCAGAGCTAGAAAATACCTGCCCACCTTTTAAGATTCAGAAGAAAACGTAACACCTTGCAGAAACCAGCTGAACACCTTCTCTCTCCCTTGCCAGTATTACCTCGCAGTGAGCCCACAGGCCCTGCCATCTGATGTTGTACAGACACACCTACCTTACTAGACTGTCAGGGATTTGGAGGAGGAAAGAGACTTTTGTGGGGCCAGCTGGCAAAGTAGTGGTTAGTAGTGGTTAAGGTGGTTGGATCCCAGCAGGTCGAGCACTAGAATACCTGGTGGTTTATAAAATATGCCAGCCAAGTGTGTGTGCATGCTCAAAATCCCAAAAGGAGAATGGACTTGGACTGCAGTGTGGTGATCCCCATGGGGGGTAGGGGGTGGGGATTTTTTACCTTCCCTCTCTCTCCAGTGAGTACACACACCCTATAGCAAAAACTCAGAACCAAAAAAAATAAACTTTTACCGTAACACCTTGTACTTACAGCACATAACACCTTGCCTGGTGTGCAGAACGTGCTAAAACAAATGTTTACTTGAATAAATAAATGGATATGAGAGCAATTTAGCATATATAAAAACATGGACTTTATTGGAACAATGAAAATATAAATGCGTGGAAAATAAAACCATGAATAAAATGAAGAAGAAACACTTTTCTTGAGAAAAATAGTACCAGCTGACCCCATCACCAGCTAAGGGAGCTGGAGCCCACATGGTATACTGCAGTTTGAATCCTGGCCCCGGCAGCTTGAAAAACACACAGGGTGCACGTGCATACACGCCTCGGATAACAAAGGAATGGGAGAGGAGGACTGAGGGTGACCACACCCCACCAGGGAGTGCCTTCTCCCTGTCTCTCCTCTCCGGCAAGTTCACCCACCCTCTGGCAATAAAAAAATAATAAATACAACAAGGGTTCTTCACCCCAATAGTACTTACACACATCAGGGCACAGAGCATATCAACCGCTGCGTGGGTCACTCCATTGTTACTCCTCTTGAGAGCTTTCACTACCTTCACGCCAAGACGCTCCCGAAACCTTTTGGAACACAAAAGAGCACATAATAGCTACAGCAAAATATTCTGAATTATTTTATTATTAAAATATAACCTAAGAAGTCATCTCAAGTTTCCACTGCAATACTGTAGCAATTACATATTCTGAATCCCATCTCGGGACTGTATCAGTTCTCCTAACCACTTTTTCATTGAGCGAGAAGTGTTGTTTTTTTTTTTTGTTTGTTTGTTTTTAAATTTAACTAAACTGAAAAACATGTAACTTCCCAAATTCACTAAAACGAGTTGAGAACACTACTGGTAAGTTTGGGTCCCATATCCAAGCTCAGCTCGACTCACGTTCCCTTTTAATTTCTTATAATTAAAAGTACTATTAAGTTGTCTAGAAAGTCATGACACATTTCTGCATGGGAAAACATTAACAAAAGTCACAACTTTCACAACAGCTTACTATATCATCACATAAAAGGTATCGGGTTTCTTAGACATAAAGAGGTAAACTGCTGATAATTTGCTATTTTGAGTTGTTCAAATTATCTATGAGAAGTTGAGCTTCTGAAGACAACTTACTTTGGAAGCTGAGTGAAGGCTAGAAAACCAGCTTTGGAAGCTACAAGCCTCCTCACAGCCTGGAACTGACTCTCAAGTTCTGCATTTGAAGCAACAACATCCCCCTCTTGAGACAATAATGCTGTTATAGCATTATTGATCAGTTTTTCTTTGTTTTCTGAGAAGAGACCCTAGTAAAAGGAAGAATATTTCAAAAACATTTCCATGCCCAAAGTCACTGACAATGAACGGATTACAGTAGGTGCGTCTTACGTCCTGTGTCACTGCATGTAGGACACCACTGTATGAAATGTTTGCATTGAACCTGAACACGGAGTCTGCAAAGCTGCCATCTGTGAGGAGGAGAGAAAGTTCAGAGAGTCAGAAGTCTGCAGTCCTTGTTCTTAGTAGACAGATGCAAATGCAGCCACACTGAGAGCAATGCTTACTTGGAGGTGTGGCTAAAAATCTGAGATGAAGACTCTCCACTTCCTCATCCACAGGCATGCTGAGTAAGCCCCATCGCTGACCTTTATGAGTTGATGTCATTTTTACACAAACATCTCTGTTACCAGAGGCTCTTACTCCATCCAGCAAACTTGCTAATAAGGAGTCTCTAAGAAAATTCAAAAGTAAAAAGGTTTTAGAACAGATAATTACGGGGAGTTTTATTCAGAATTCAGTGCAAACCTCTTGTCAGGTGACTTGCTCTGAGGTGCACTATGGACACAAAGTGAATCACAAACTGCAGGGCTTTAGGACAGCGACTGGAGTTCTTTGTTCTTTTTTTTTTTTTAAAATAACTATTTACTTGATTTTTTATTTATTCATTTATTTTAATTGGACCAGAGAAAGACATAGAGAGAGAGAGAGAGGAAAAGGGAGAGAGCAAGCCAACAGGTCCAGAACTGGAACTGTGGTCGGCCATTATGCCACCTGCTGGCCTCCGAGAGTCTGGAGTTCTAATACCTGCTCTATACCTTGCTCCTCCATGACCCTGTATTAGTTATTAAGCTCTGCAGTTTTAATGTCTGTTTTCTTTGTTTCTTAAAGATTTCTCTTAATGGCTTTACTCAATCTAACTTACAAGTCTTACAAGTCTTAAGATTTGCCCAACTAAAACGTACTGTTTGACAGTTTTCAGTGTGTTCACAATCTGGTTTTGATATACTTCTATCACCCCAAAGTGTCTATGCTTGTTTGCAAAACAACAACAAAAAAATCCTAGCCCTAGACAACTATTGATCCATTATCTCTGTATTTTTGTTTTTAAATGAAATCTCATCAAAAATAAGATCATACAACATGTAGGACTATGTGCTTTATTTTTTTAATCACATGCTTTTATGGTTCATCGAAGTTTTTCACATTTTGGTGGCTTAGCCTTTTTGTTACTGAGTAGTCTTCCACATGACCGACATTCTGTCTGCCCATTCGACGAGCTGAAAGGCGCCGTATTTCTAGTCTTCGGCTATTACGAGCAATCTCACTATAAGCATCCATCTGGGAGTCTTTCTGTGGCCAAATGTTTTCATTTCTCTAGGGTAGATACCTAGGAGAACTGCTGGGTCATATATTAAACATATATTAACCCTTTTAAGAAACTGCCCAACTGTTTTTCAAAGCGGTTTCATCATTTTACCTTCTTACCTGTAATGTATGAGAGTTTTGGCTTCCCCACATTCTTGCCAACAGCTGGCATTTGTCAATTTTTTTTATGTCAGCCATTATAATAAATCTGTGGTAGTTTTAATTTTGACTCATGATCTTTCCATGGTTTTTTTTTTTTTGAGAGGTTTTTGCTACAGGGCGTGTGCGCTCGCCAGACAGACAGAGAGAGACAGAGAGACAGAAAGCAGGAAATCACCCCCCAGGGGGGATGGCCACGCCGCAATCCCTTCTCCTCCACTCTCCTCTCAGGATCCTGGGCACGCACACACATGCGCCCGGCGTGAGTTTAAGCCACCGGGTCCGGGACTTGAACCACGGTCGACTACGTGGGAGTCCAGCGACATAGCCATTACGCTAACTGCTGGTCCCCGATCTTTCCATGTTTTTATCATTTATCTGCTCATTTATTAGTGGAATTTTTAATTTTAAGATTTTTTTTCTTTAAAGAGCTAGGTTAAGGAATTCTTTATGTATTTTGAATATAAATCCTCTTTTTTTTGGGGGGGGGGGGAGGTTTTTGCTATAGGGCACGTGCACTTGCTAGAAAGACAGAGACAGAGAGATGGAAAGTGAGAAATAACCCCCCAGGGGGGATGGCCACACCGCCATCCCTTCTCCTCCATTCTCCTCTCAGGATCCTGGGCACGCACACACATGCGCCCGGCGTGAGTTTAAGCCACCGGGTCCGGGACTTGAACCACGGTCGACTACGTGGGAGTCCAGCGACATAGCCATTACGCCAACTGCTGGTCCCACAAATCCTTTATGAGCTATATATTGAAAAATATGTTTTTCCTTGTTTGTGGCTCGTATTTTCTTTTTCTCTCTGGTGTCAAAGTTTTAACATGCAAGCTAATTAGTATTTTTTTCTTTTCTAAACTGTGTTTATGGTATTATACCTAAGAAATATTTTTGTAAGTCAAAGTCACAAAAAAGTTACAGTACTTTCTGCATGTAAGCATTATTAGGAACAATGGTTACCTTCTTCCTAGGGCTACTGTCAGGATTAAACAAGATCACATACGTAAAGCTCCTGACAGAAT